TTAATTAAGTTTTTTTTTAAAAAAATATATTTTAAAAATATTTTTAACCCTTATAATCTTAAACTCGTTTTTTTCTTATAAATATTTTAACCAGACTAATTTTGAATTTTTTTAAAAAATTTTTAATAAAATATTATAAATATTTTATAAAAAATGCTTTTTATAATTTATAATTTATAAAATTAGAGGGGGTCAATGCCTAATTATGCTCATTTTAATTTATAAAAATGATCTTTTAAGGCGTGAAATTTTGTGTTATTAATAATTTTTTTTTACAATTTTTTTATAAAATATTTATAATATCCAATGAGCATTAAAATGTTAATAATATAAATTATAATATTTTATAAATTAAAATGATCATGATTAAGGGTTGACCCCCTAATTTTATAAGTTATAAATCATGTAAAAAAAATTATGTATAAAATATTTATAATATTTTATAAAAAAAGTTTTAAAAAATTTCAACTAAGAGGGGTTAAAAATATTTATAATATTTTATAAGAATTTTTTTTAAAATCAAGATCGAGAGGGGTTAAAGATATTTTTAAAATATTAAAAAAAAACAGAATTATCAAAATAACATCATTTTGGCATTCTAAGTAACTGGTCAACCCAATTGACCATTACATATAATAACAATTAGAAAATTACATCAGCTTTTCCTAAAAATCAATAATTTAAGATTCAAATTATGCAATTTGATATCAAGGACATGAAATTTTCAAATCGTAATAGAATGAGAGTAAAATGTGTCATTAAACCATATAATAGTTAAAAATCTATAATGTGATTTTAGGTTTCTAATTGCATCTCATTTGTCCGTAAAAGTATTTGAAATGTTCAATCTGTCTTTTCAATCAATTTTATCATATGAAAATTTTTTGAGCAAAATGTCCTTAATTGAAATGCAAAAATAAATAAAATTATAAAGACTTAATAAAATAAAACATATAGGTCACGTGACTTTAAATTTTTTTTAGTAAGTGGCATTTTGATAAAAAAAATTTGTTCGTGGTCGAAATATTTGATCGGGAAGAACAAATTGAACATTTCAAAATTTGTTAGAGACATATGACATGCAAATGAAAATTTAAAAGACGAGATAAAAAACTTTGAATATTATATAAAAACAGATGTATATACTTACTCTTATATTTATTTATAATTAAGATTATAAAATTCTCATATAAAGGGGTTTTTTCAACAAAATTCTTTGGGCATATAGAGTTGAATATAGAAGATTGGGTCAATAAAAAAGACTCAAACTTTATGGTAGGTGACTCATTTTTCTCAACTTTATATGTTACTTTTTCTTTTTTTTTTGTACTATTCAATATGTGATAAATTCTCTAACACTTTCCTTTATTTATAGCCTATCTTTTAAAGTCTCGTCGAGTAACTTGCGTTTTGAGATTTTTGCTGGACCGTTGGATCTCTTTCATACTCGATACCATATAGAGTTAGATACTTAAGATTGAGATCCATTCAAAAGACTTAAGTCTTGTGATGGATGGGTATTTCTCAACTTTATGTGTTATTTTTTATTTTTTTAACTATCCAATATAAGATATATTCTCTAACATGGCCAAACAAATATGACTTGAATTGGAATGAATATTATGGTACTGGTATCCTAATTTGAGTGGAAGAAAAGATCCCTATTGGATTATAAAGATTATTGAAAAAAGAAAAAGAAGAAAAAGTAAATGATAACATTAATATCATCTATCATTTTATTTCACTCGTAGTTGTCTCTCAACTTTCTCTTAGTTTTGTAGAGACTAGTTTTCACTCCTTTTTACATTCTCTTTAAAAAAATTTCAGATAATAAGATTTTTTAAATCAGCCTTCACAACTAAATTTATTGTTTTTTAAACTAATTAAGAATCAAATCATGTATAATCTTTAGTCATTTTTAAAGCTTGGATTTTTGAACCCATCAACAACCTATGTTTAGCGCAGTACAAAGGAGATGGATGAACTTTTTTTCAAAAAAAAATCCATCTTATGATTTGATAAGTCAAAAACACTTTTTTTATCATTTTATTTACAATTTTGGATGGTCCTAGATACATTGTTAGTTTCAAATAGAATGTAATAGTGGGCTCATATTTTAAATTATTTCTTTAATTTTTAAAGTTTTTTATTGGTAATTATCCCGAGGATTTGAAAGAAAGTTAAAGGGAAACGTGAAACAAGCCAAATAGAATGATGGAAGAAACGAGTCATTCGTTGAGAGCTCCCTTGGACATTTAAGGGGTAAGGACCATAATGGAACTTTTTAAAAACATAAGAGGTGAAATTGGGAAATAAAAAAATACAAGGACGGAAGTGGAATAATGATAAATATGAAGGACTGAAAATTGCAGTTTACCCCTTTAAATTTCCATGGATGACGCACGCAAAGTGAGGAAAGAGGTGATTTCTGAAACGACAAGTGTGATAAGACAGGTGGTGACCGTAGAAAAATTTCTTAAATTATCAAATCATCAATCAAACACATCATGACGTGGGGACAGATCAGACGGTTGATAGAGACTCCTTTTACCCTTTGGGTTCTCAAGACAGTATCGCGCGAGATGCGCGGGTGCTTTCTTTTAACATTTCCAAGCTGTATTGTGGGTCCCATGTCAGTCAAGACCCACCAGCACCAAAATCTTACTACTTCTTGGGACCCACTTAATTACATATGCATGCAATTCTTTCTTTCTTTTTTGACCTTTTTTATTTTTTAATACAATCCTATAAAGTTATTGAGTAAATTATAAATTAATCTCTCTATTTTCAAAAAATAAATTATTTAATTTTTTATTTTAAAAAATATTATTTAGTCCTTTAATAAGTGTTGATAATACTTAATGTACTATTATTTTTATTATACAAAATTTCTTATTTCCTAATCAATCTTTTCATATTTTTTTATTTACTAAAATAAAAAATAAAAATAAATTAAAAAAGAGCAAAAAAAATTGAATTATAAGTAAATTTTAAAATATAGGAATTAATTTTTTTTTAAAAAGAGACTAATTAATTATTTTCTCGAAACAAAAAAGATTAATGTATAATTTAATCTACAATTATTCGATTATTTTGCATTCCATCTTTTGACCTTTCTCTTTTTGTCTACCTTCTTTATATTCTTACAATTAGGAAAAAAAAATTAATATACAAATTCAAGCATGATTAATTTGTCTAAGATCCGATTAAAAATGAATTTTGAAATGATCTTATAAGATAGATTCATTTTTATTCTGAAATAACTAAAGTACTAAGAATAATCTAACATTTTATTAAAATCGAATCTTTGCATGAAATATCGTATTTCGAATTATTTTATTTTTCTTTTAGGATAAAAAGAAAAAGAAAAAGAAAAAGGAAGTGATATATATTTGCAGTAAAAAAAAATTAAGCTTGGTATGCTTTCTCATTCCAACAAAAGAATAATAAAGAAAGGTTACTCCATATAGTTTTAGCAACATATATATATATATATATTAGTATTTTAGTATTGATTGTATAATTAATTTATAGAGAGACTTTTGTTTTCTCTAGCATTAATTGGTTAAAACCCTCTCGTCTAGTGCAATTTGATCCATGATTTTCTTTATTTTGAAAGCCAACCCATATGTGATTTTATTACCTTCTCTAAATAAATTTTACAGGGAGCTCAATCCAAAATTTGAAAAAAAGATTGCCATTTCCTGAACCAAAAAAAAAAAAAAAAAGGAAAAGGGAATGAACAGTTTGGAAAAGTGATTTTCTACCTTTCACCATGAAATGACAAATAATTCATTTTTGAGGCAATATAAATTTGGAAATAGCATGAGACAAAAATGACAGGCAAGAGCCACCTAACAACCATGCAGGGTCTAGTCTGGTTGGTAATGGTCCGTTCAATTAATTGATCCATTTGAGCACAATTCACTTAATAACTCAATATGCAATTTTTTTGTTCTTTTTTTTTTTTAAATATACATATAATACCCTGGTTTTGTGTTAGGATTGAGACATTTAATCGTAGTTTTAAATTACAAATACATTTAAAAAAAACACAATCATGGTTTATTAGATTAGTAAAATAACGATTGTAACAATCGATATCGGTAATACAATAACAAATTAACAACTCGTGAATAAATTTATTATGGTTTACAAAATTTTTAATATTTTTTAATTCAATATAATAATAACATTTCTAATGGTTTAATTTCATACAAAATAATTGATTTTTTAAAAGAAAAAAATTAACAATACCCGTAATAATTTAATATCACATAAACAATAATAAATACAAATAATTAAATTTTTTTATATATATAATGGCAGTTTTTTTAGCCAAATAATGACAATATCGACATCATATAATGCTGATGTTATTTATGTAAAATGGCGTTGTGCTTTCTATAATGGCTTATAACAGTAACAACATGCTTGAGTTACCATGATATCAGTGGCCTGTTAGTGACTCAACTTGCATTTGCCATCCTTCATGCCTTTAGTCTAGGTCAATCAAGAATAAGCAAAAAAAGAACAACATTTTTTCTTAATTAAGTTCAACCTTTTGTGATGTTGTTCTGCTTCTTTCATTTGCAAACTATAGTTTTAAATAATGGAAGGATGAAAAAACGATCACGGTCATTATCGTTCATCGCAGTTTATTATAATACTAAAATAACGATAACGGGATGTTTCGAAACCATTATTTAACGACCGTTATATAACGTAACGCGAGTTATTTAAAACTATTCCAACACTTGCAAATTTCATTCACTCATTAATTAACACTAAGCAGATCCAGATCAAAATGTGTCGCTTAAGCTCTTAATACTACATTAAACTTACAATCGTGCCGATGGTTAGCACAAAAGACCGGCTTCGGACCAGCTAAATTGCTCAACTTGAAGCCTGAATTGTTAGAACCATCATAAAAAAAGGAAAACTGAAAGCTACTTTAGATATACAAGGCTAAAGGACACTAAATACTACGCATTTTAAACTTAGATTTGTCCAACATGACCACTAGCAGGTCCTCCTAGCGTTAGCACCACACCTTGAAGATCACTTCTTGGCTTTTGTTCTTTGGCTACTGATGGAGCAGCTCTAATTACTGGATATGTTCTTGTCATTTGAGCTTGTCGAAAACTCTGACCAGATTCTGGCATGGAGAAAGTTCCCGGATGGTGAGAAGGCTTTAACGAATCGATATGATTTGTGTTTGGAAATTTTTGAATGATCGGAATTTGAGTTGCTGGAGGTGCATGATTTTGAGCTAGAACGGCCCCTCGCGGTAATCCACCTGGTGCCTGATAGATAAAATTGAGTTTCGATAAGAATTCAAAACATACTTGAATGTACTGCAAAATAAGGTATGCAGGTGAGAGCTTACAGGTGCAAACAAGACCCCTCTAAAAATCTTCCCATTAACAGTTGCAGTCATTAGAAGGCCTGAGTCGAAGGCTCCATCGACTTTACCTCGGACTTCAGCACCAACCTATGGAGTAAAAGATGTCAAAAGCACTCGTTAGCAGAACAGAGAGGAAAATTGTAATTGAGGATGCTTGGCAAATTAAATAGATGCAGAATATGAAGATTATGATTTACCAGGTTCTGAATACATGCTGACTCCATGGGTGCATAATCCGTCGCTGGGAACGGTGTTTCCTGTCTGCCAGCATGAAAATATTGTTCTGCTCTTTTATGCTCCCTAGAAATTTGGAGGTTGTATGGGGTTCTTTGCACCGTAGCTCTAGGTTGTTTATGGCTACTGGCAGCATCATCAGCCCGGCAATTTCTGGGGATTTTGTTTAACTGCCTAAACAAATTAAGGCCTTGGCCGGATGTGAGGGAATCAACAGATTTCTGAACTGGGATCTGTTCTTGATCAGATTGTGATGGAGATGAATGTTGAGAGAGCGAAAGAGAATGCTCTTCTTGTTCTGAATCAATCTCCCATGCTTTCGAATTTGCAGTTCTTTTCTTCTTGGGATGCAGAGTATCTGAAAGGAAACATTCGAGTTAATCATGTTCGAAGTCTGTCATCACTCATCCGTGCTACTCGGACAAGGGTTTTGTTATCAAAAGTACCTGAACTGAACTGAAAAGGTTGTTTTGATTCTTCTGATTCTTGAGAGCCCTTTCGGACTATGTCGTTGTTCCCTAGAAACATTGTCTGCTTCACAGCAAAAATTAATAATCCTCTCAACTTGAACAGGCATATTTTAACAGGAAGTCAAGTGTTTGCATTTTGATAGTAATTAGTTTCATTACCGAATTGTCCTCTGCTCCGTGTAGAAATCTTCTCTTTTCTTGATTCCAATGGCTTCCAAAGATCTTGCACATGGATATGTTGTATCGACCATTGGGGTGTTCGGCTCCAAGTTGCAAGACCAGCAACTGATTGAGAGGACGCTCATCCTCTCTACACCTGCATATATATGCATATAAACACACAGAATTAAATTAAGATACAAATGAAAATTATGTGGGAAGCATTGTTGAGAACAAAAGCTGCAGATGCGACGCGAAACTAAAACTTTTAGTTACCCGCCATAGATGGCAATATCCGAGTCTGTAACAACCGCAGTGTGAGAAAACCTCCCTTGAGGTTGCTGCCCGGATATATCAAGTTGAGTCCATGAACAAGTACTCACATCAAGCACCCAAACATCATTGTAGTAATGCTTGTCCCCAACACCTCCAATGACATAAACCTGCAGGACCATGAAGAATCAAAGACTTTCAGCAAAAACAGGTGAGCATCAATAGAGCAGAGCAGACAATAGATACAACATCCTGAAGAAAAACTAGTCTAATTTCCGAAATTACTTTAACGACAAGACTTGCCTTTGTCCCAATATTCACAGCAGTATGGCCTGCTCTAACGCCTGGCGAAGATCCTTGAACAGCAAGCTGTTAGAAAATCAAAACCATCATCAGTACTCTTCATTTACACAAGATTTTCTTCATGAACTCCTTCGAATTGCGACCCCATAACTGTTAAATAGAGTAAGGTGAAGCTAATACCTTTCTCCAAGTCATTGTGTCTGTATCAAGAACATCCACATCACCATGATACCTATCACCACGATCACCACCATACACAAAAAGCTTACTGCCAATTGCAACAGCACTGTGACTATCCCTAGGAGCAGGAATATCACCCTTCACCTCTGGAGAAGTCCATCTCATAGACCTGAGGTCTAAAACATGCAAATCATTCAAATAATTTGCTTCACCTTCTCCACTTCCCCCAAACACCATGATTTTATCGTCACCAATGAGGGTTGCAGTGTGACTTTCGCGAGGCGAAGGAGGAGTCCCTTTACATTCAGGGCTAATCCACTCCTTGGTCCCAAGATCCAAAACATGAAGATCATTCACCTTCTTAGAGCCATTTGTGCCCCCAAAAACAATCATCTGTCGGCCAACGAGAACAGCACTGTGGCTGTCTCTTGGACCAGGCCCTTGACCTGTGGTTGCCAGAGAGTTCCAAACCATCGTATCAAGATTTAGCAGGAGAACATCACTGAAATCCAGACCCCCACAACATCCCTGAAACGATTAAACAAATATCACAATGCAGTGAAGAAATTGGAGTTGAAATTAAGCAATAGAATTTAGACTACATGCCATAGTTTAGCAAGAAAGTAACAACCACAGCTATTAACAAACATTTCTATATCAAGAAAGCAGGATGGTAATCCTCTTCCTACCAGCAATAGCCACACTAAATATAGAAAAAAAATAACCGAGACAAAACTTCAGACAACATTTCCGACAATGAGCAGAAGAACAAAATATAGGAAAGAACTAAAACACATGAAGAAAGTATATGTTCTTCTATATACTATATAGAAGAACAAAAGAAAACAAAAGGAACTTTCTCTTTGCATTATGGACATGAATCAACAGAAAGGAAAGGCAAGTAACATACCAACAAAACCAAACACATATCTGTCAGAACCAGCTTCATGAAATAGACAATACAAAGGATATTTGGAAAAAAAAGAAAAAAGAGTAGTAGTTCATGCTGCTGAAGGATATTTATACATACCCCAAAGACATAAACAACCCCATGAGAGTAACAGGCAGAATGACCCCATCTTTCAGAAGGATTAAATCCTAAAACCTTAGGATAGAGCCACATTGCCTTCTTCTTTCCAGTTTCAACTCCCAAAGACCCCATTTTTAGTCTACCACTCTTTTTCTTTCGCCTGAGCTGAATGAGTTTATTAATTTCTAGTTCAACACAGGGCTCGGTGATGATAAAGAAAGTTGAAGAGGGAAATATAGAGAGGGTCAAAAGTGGACACGAACAAGCCAAGTGACATATCAACTATCAGTGTCAACAGACATGAAAAGATGGGCGCTTTCAAGTCTCAATCACTGTGGCAACCAACATCAGCAGAAGGTAGTGGTGAAAGGAACAATTTTTTTGCCATATAAATCGTCTGTCACTTTAAAGAAGTTTTTCCTTAAAAGAAAAATATTACAGCAGTCCACTTTGCTGTTGCTCATTGTTATAAAGTAAAACATCAAATAACAAGGCTGTATAAGCTTCAGACAATATACATAACATAATCTAACAACACTATAAGAGTGATGCATTATTATGGAAAGGGTTTTCCAACGTTGGATACTGTAATTTTTTATATTTTTTATTTAAATTTTTATTTGTTATAAAGTTACAAATTAATAATTAATACATGACGTTATAAATTTTAAAATATATTATTTTATTTAAGTGTGACGAAAATTGATTAGTAATGTTATAACAATCACTAAAAATTTTCAAAAAATAAAAAATATTAATCAAATTTAAAAAATTGAAAGAATAAAGAATTCAAACGTAGAAAAAATCCATCACTGCGAACATGACTATTGTGTGTATTTTTATAAATTGTTAATGAAATTATTATTATTATGGTTTGTTTACTTTTCACCCTTGCCTAACTGAAAATGATGGAGTTGGGGTCATTGGGGTTGGGAAATGATGGAGAAAGTGTTGAGAGGTCTGAGGATACGACAGGAGAGGTTGAGAGAGAGAGAAGGGAGCATTTCTTTTCTTTCTTTCTTTCTTGTTTTTCCTTTCTGCTAAACTCACATGGTGTTTCTTTCTTTGTGAGTGTGATGTTGGGATTGATGGAAGTGAAGTTTTCACTGTGTCGCTCTCTTCCTCATTCAATTTTCAAGGTAGGTTCTTGATGTGGATCAAGAAATGTCTATTCTCAAGGATCTTTGGGAGAAGTGTGGGGGCTTTGTGTTGTGCAAATTCTTTTGTAGTTTTGGGAAATGAGAATGGTGTTGTTTCTTTCAAAAAGGTTTGAGGTTTTTGAAATACTAAATTCATGCAATTTACCCTCTACTGAGAAACTGAAATATTTTTGGGGAGCCTCAATTTAATCCCTAATATATATGTACATTCCCAGATGAGTTCCAAAACACAATATGTTTTTCAATTAAGTCCCAAATGCTTAAGACTTTCCTCAATTGGATACTTTATCAATGTTTATAAATATTTTCCCCCAAAATTGCATGTTTAAACCTATAAAATCATGTCATTTTGGGAAAAAAAATTGATAAAAAATAATATACTAGGGGTTAATTTGAGGTTTTTGTTATTTTACTAGGAAGAATAAATTTAACCTAGATCTATAGGATGAATATATACCATGGAACTTGTGCTTTAAAATGACATGACAAGTCTATTAGGTCATGCACATGGAAGTCATTCACTTCACCAAAGGTGAAATATTATTGCTTTGATTCCTTTCTATATTTGTTTTAATGCCTTTGGTTTTCAAGGCTGAAACTATTTTCATACGACAATTTTACCCTCCGACTATTATCCAAATATTCTAGATTAAGTCTCTCAACAAATGATTTTTCCAATTGAGTCCTTCATCTAATCAAACGGTGCCGAATTCAAAAGCCCCATCCAATTAATTCTTCTCTGCAACGTAGTTTGAATTCAGATAATCGAATAACGTCTCATCAAATGTAGGATTTAATTGGAAAATATTCTTTGAAAAAACTGAATCGAAAATGGGATAATAGTTGGAGGGTGTGTTTATCCTATCTATATATATAGTGGTGTAGGACCATGACTGTGACATATTAATTGGTATCGAGGACAAGGATAAAGGCCAAATTAGTCCTCTGCGTTTTATTTACTTATTTGTATACTTTGTGAGCAGTCACATTTTGCTTTTGATCCCTGTGCCCTAAATTTGAAATGTCTTTATCAAATTGAAGACATCAATCAATGCCCTTGTGTTGTTGAAAAAACTAGATCAATGTCCTTCTAGTACTTGCACATTGATATGTAATTATCAAAGACTCAAAAAACATGATGAAGGTTGTGCATCGATGACTATTCTATGCATAATATATAGTAAATTATAAATTAGTCAGAAATGAATTAATTAGTTTTTCTTACTTTAAAAAACTAATTACTTGATTTTTTTATCAGTATTAATCATATTTAATTTAATATTATCATATTTTAAAAAATATCTTTTTTTTAACTAATTCTTTCATATTTTTCCTTTTTTATATTTCTCAAAGAAACAAAATATATTAAAAAAGAACAAAAATAATTAAATTATAAAAAAATTTAAAAATATAGAGATTAAATAACTATTTTTTAAAATAAAAAGGATCAATTAATTTATTTCTTAAAACTGAATGGAGTAATTTATAATTTACTAACGATGCATATATATATATATATATATATCTTGAACAGTATTTCATTTCAACATCAGAAGTTGTGACTTTAATAATTAGAAACCATTGATGTATGTAATTCATAGGCCATCGCTGTCTACCTTTTTCTTTCTTTATTTTATTTTATTTTTTCTTTTTAATCAAAGATAATGCTACTCATGATTGACAACTTTCTTTGCCAATCATACTCACCATTCGATATAAATAATGATAAAGGAAATTGACATAAAATAATTTAATAATAATCTGTCTCTACAACGAACGAATCAAGGTTTAGTGAATTCGATTTTTTTTTTCAATAAACTCTTAAATAGATTGTTCGTGCATGAATCAATAGATTCACGATATTTCTTTGTAATATTTTTTAAATTCAAATTTAATTTTTTTAATATATATATATATATATATATATTAACTTTCATACATTTTAAGATTAATTGTTTTTTTTTTCTATCGAAAATTAAACAGATCAATCACGTATAGACATGTCAAATCGACAAACTTATTTACAGCCTGTGACGATGGTGAAGGATCAATAAATCAAGAGTATTTCGAAATATTTTACTCTCCATCACTTTTTAGTGACTGGCGCATAACTTCAAATTCTATACTAAGTTTTTTTTTTTTTTTTTTTATTGTTATTATACTTATAGACAACATATTAAATTAGAACAAAATCATGGTAACTTGAAAAAAAAAACTATTTATATCATATGAAAGGTTAAATGGTACAAACCTTTCTTGGTTTTTAAATTATCCAAAAATCAATATTTTAATTTCTAATTTCGAAATAAACTTTATTCTAATTATTTTTTATTTAAAATTCGATATTTCTCTTAATTGTTTGTCCATTCTAATGATAGAAGTATAAATAATTTACACATAATGGATTTTTTAATTTTTTTTACAATTAAAAATATACAATTTATAGATATTTTATTTCTTCAAAACATATGACTTTCATTCTAAAATATTTTTTTAATTTCTAATTTTTCAGTATTTAAGAGTAGAAAAATAAGTTTTGTAAGAAAAAATAAGATACTCGTAAATTTTGATATATTTTTAATAGTTAAAGAACTGTATTTACAAACTAGAATAAATAACAATCTAACCAATGACCTAACTTGAAATAAAAAATAATTAGAAAGACATCTCATTCGACATTGAAAGTTGATGATTCTATAATCATTTAAAATTGAAAAAAAAAAAAAAGTTTCTACTGTTTGGAGATCATGAAAATATCCTTGTATGGTCACATATCGTGAGAAGAAATTAAGGAGGAACAGAGACACAATTACATGCATGTTGAGTTGACAAATGACAGGCAGTGATGTTGTTGTAATAAAGAAAGAAAGAAATGACATGGAAGGCGTAGGACGCACGCGATAAACACGGGAGAGCTTCAGCTTGAGATTTGGCGGTAACTGACTCTCCTCTCTCTTCCTTTGTCTTGGCCATGTCTTGATTCTCGTGCATGTATGTCTTAGCCCTATAAGCTTTGTAACTTGAAACCAAACCTCTTTTCTCTTCTCACTTTCTTGAAAGATAAAAAGAAATGGACTTTGATGTGATAAGAAAAGAAAAGAAAGACATCCATCTAATCGAGGCAGAGGTGTCTCATGTTTTTCCCTACTGTCAAGTCAAAGAATGACATGGAAATTATTGGAGACTCTTGCTAATTAATTTCACGTTTTTTTTTCAATTTATTTATAAAAAGAAAAGAAAAATAAAGAGAAGTTGGTAAGATGAGAAAATTCGATTGAGAAGGAAAAGATTTTCGAAAAATAAAACAAAAATTAGGATAATCAACATTAGTTAAAGGATTAATTTAATTATTTTTATACTATAGGGACTAATTAATTAGTTCTGATAAACTATAAGGATGAAATTATATTTAATGTACTTATTATGCATTGAAGAGGAAACATTAGGCTTTTTATACCCTTACACATGAAGAGGTATCCCCCAAGGCTTATGTTGGAATCCTAGCTTAAAATATCTCTATAAATAAGAATCACAAACATAGATATATAATCTTTTCAAATTATCTCATTTTAATACGTAAAAACATTGATTATAATAAGTTTTGAAGCATTGGGTCAAGACGTTAATAAATTCATAAAAAAAATCTTATGAATAAGTATAATATTTTACACACGGATGATTTATCCGAAACATATACGTTGAATTATGTTTTGATGTATTAAAATTAATCTGAAAATATTTCAATGGTTAAAATATCTCGATAAATAAAATTCATCAATATAAATATACAATATCTTCATATTATCTCATTTTAATGCATGAAAACCCTAATTATTACAAGTTTCGAAGAATTCAGTCAAAAGGTTAATAAGTTTTGATATACTAAAAAAATATATCTTATGAATAAATATAATATTTTACACATGGATGATTTATCTAAAACCTCGGCATATAATTATGTTTCGATATACTAAAATTGACATAAGAATATTTTAATAAGTAAAATTAAAAATAAATAAAAATCAGCGTTGGAATCAACAAAATGCGAATGCGTGTGGGAGTGGGAGTGTTTCCTAGGAATATGAATGCTCCAGCGTGAAGGTTGTGTGCAGTTGACTGCTACAATAACCAATAACATACCGTCTATTGGACTCAAATATATAACAAATTAGTCCCTCTATTTTTAAGAAACAAACTAATTAATCTTCTTTGTTTTAAAAATAATTATTTAGTTCCTTAATCGATATCGATTAAAGTTAATTTATTATTATTTTATTTTAAAAATATTATTTTTTTCTCATTACTTTTTTCACATTTTTTGTTTATTTTTTATTTTTTCTATTTTCTAAAATAGATTAGAAAAACAAAAAATAATTAAGTTACCAAAAAAAATTAAAAATATAAAGACTTAGTTTTTGAAACAAGAAAACTCATTATTAACTTTTTTTTTTTTTTTTTTTAAGTAGAAGGGCTAGTTTACAGTTTAATCATTTGACTCTCGTTATGATCTATCATCTTTTCTGCACAAATGTCTTCACAAGCAACAATCTCTCCAAAGTTAAGGCCTCACATTAGGATTAAAAAAAAAGAAAAGCAAAGAAATTGCGACCATCAAAGATGAATTATTATTAAGTAATGAACACCATTTTTGCCCACCATCAAAGGTTGTCTGCTTGTTGGTCTCACTTGTAATCAAATGAACCTTAATCGGTTTCAATAGTTTCAAGAAATATTTTAAACAGTGAACCAAATTACACCAACCATCCACCTCTCATGATGGTGGAATAAATTATAAATTAGTCCTTTCGTTTCAAAAAATAAATAAATAATTTTTTTTATAAAAAATATTTAGTTTCTTTACCAATATTAATCACGTTTAATTTACTATTATTTTATTAAAAAAATTGTTTATTCTCATCAATTTTTTCATAATATCTATTTATTTTCTCTCTTTTCTATTAAAAAAACATAAAATAGACAAAAAAAAACTAAATAATTAATTTTTAAAATAAAAAATTAATTAATTTGGCCCTTAAAACTAAAGAAATTAATTTATAATTTACTCCATCATGCTGCCTTTAAAAAAAAGCACTATCTCAAAAGCAAAAGTTCCCAAAGACGCAAGAAAGTCTTTTCTTAGAAGCTCGTCCCATTAGCTAATGAGTGATTAGACCGAACTGGAAAAGACTCAAAGATAATAAAAACGTTGCATGAGTAGATAGGATTAGACTAAATGGAGTGTTCCCTATGTTCACTGAACATAACAAAACACGTGATATCCTTCCTGTCCAATCTAGTCCCATCAAACCCTACCTTTTTTTGTTTGTTTTTTACAAGGAAAACCTAAAAATAACCCCCCAACTATACATAGTCTAAATTTACCACCAAACAATTCTTTGTATCAATATTCAGAAAAAAAGTTCTATCAAATTTGAGCATGAACTCCATCTACTCCATTTAAACTGTACCTTACCTTTTCTTTTGGGAGCAAAATAGATATATGCTAACCTAATAGTTGAGGGAAAGTTCTTAGGCTGCCTTGTATATTTTAGGCTAATCAAGCATGTTCCTTCTGCGAAGGATAATTATAGACTAAAGAAAACCAGAATATAATTGTCACATAAAAGAATTGAATTGATCAATGATTTACAATTTGGTTCAGATATTTTTAAGTGTGAAGTAGGATGCCCAGCATTCAGTGAGAAAAGAACTTTCTTTCAAGTTTGTCATGTACATGATCGAATGGTATACAAAGGCATGTTATAGACTATACAATAAGCATTACCATTACCGTGATCGGAAGCCGGAAGGGACTACAGCAGACATATCTCAAGCTTTACTTCTGGGCAAATTTTCATGGTAACTCTAAAGGGTATTACAGCTATGTCCTAGCTCTTGTTAAAGTCAAAAGGCCTTGCATTCCGTAACTCAACTGGCAGCAGCTGTTGACAACGCAAAAAATAGAGATGTTAGATAACGTCATTGTATAAGTCCAGCAAAACAACAGAAAACCTAAGCAGGAATAGTTTTTTTTTTTTTTCCTTCTTTTTCCAGCCAGTCCTTTATATCTCTGCGCAGCACACTGTCAACTAGCTGGAAACCATTGTTTTTGAAAGGAAAGCTAATGTTTATGCACTCATCTATTAGGGCAATTTGGTTTAATCTTAATCCCACTTACTCGTCTGGAACTAAGACATTCCAGTTTATGGACCGGTATATATGGGAGAGCCATGTCTCAACAGCTTATAAGAAGAACATCTAGACAAAGGTGTGAATCCTTCAGGACTGGACAAAAGTCTCTAGACCCAAGCACAACAAATGATGATTAAAATAAACAGGCACTTTTTATTTCATGTGAACTGGCCAATAATATTAATAATTAAAAAAAAATACTCTAGATACCAAATATTGGAAGCTAGATGGGAGTAATATGTAGAGTTTAGAAGACGTTCCCTAACACTCATGAGGCACCAATTTTTGGAGTGGAGATGGTCAAAAGATGATATAGACAAAGTGCACATGATGCAAGGTTAAGTAAGAATTATGCCATCCAGTTAATAATTTCAGTGTGGAAAAGTAAATACTTACACACTAAGAATAAACTGAGGCCCGAAGGAGAAAATACGTTTGTTCATGTGTTAGATTTAACAGCAAAAAGAGTTCGCTGTTCATCTGTTGGATTCAACAACCAATGGCAGAACATCCACGCTGCCCCAACCACTGATAAAAGAGATAGCATCGCCAAAAATCCAAAATGTGAAGCATCATTTGCTATTATTGCAACTCCCAACATTACAGACTCTGCCAAACTTGCAACAGAAACTTCTGTTGTAGCTATAAGATTTGCTTTCGAAGATGGGATCCCAGTTTGAAGAATCTGGGCCCCCACAACATCATATGACATGTGTCCCAGCCTTGATAATACCTGGACATAAAGGTTGATCAAATTTTCTCCTGATATCTGAACTAACAGCATGATAGTGATGGATAGTATTAACGAAATGGGCTGGGACACAAGCATCATATCAACACCGACAGCATGTGTCTGATTAGGAAATATAAAAGATTAGATTTGAAGTGATGCTACCTCTGGTTACAATCAACTCAATTACCAAGCACAACCGAGAGTCATATTTACTTGTTAAGTTCCTAAAAAGTTAGCCAGTTTGACAAGTTTTTAAAAATTACCCTATGAAATTAATTTTGAAGCCAGTGTTGGAAACAAGCACAATATTTTTTCAAAAATTGCTTACAATCAATCCCAAGAAGAAGAGTACAGGGCTCTGCTGAGAAAGGGACCCACTCCAATACACAGCAACAGCTAAGGAGAGAAGAGAAGCCTGAAATACTAGTCCTACTGCTCCAGCCTGGTTGAAGAGAAAAAATTATAAGAGCAGAGTTGAGAGGTAAATTCTAGCTGACTTGTAACAAGTACAACAAGCATAGGATGTAACCTTTAAAATGCCGAGTAGCTTGACCAAGGTGGCCGACAGAAACGTTGCTGCAACACCCATGAAAGAACATAATCCACTGAAGCCCCCAATTATAGACGGATTAACTCCTGTTAAAGAGTATGATTTCTTGGAGTTAGCATGGAATTGAAAGAAACCAGAGAATAGTTTAATACAGCAAAGCTCATAGACTATTTGAAGTGAATCCCCCAATATTAGCACTTCAAAACCAAAAGAAGAAGGATCTTGTACCAGTGCATGAAAATCACTTCTTATGCTTTCTGCTCACATACAGCAAAGTTTGCAATGACTAACTTCATTCAATAAAGCAACCATCCAATGCAATGACTATAGTTTCTAATCGATGTATAAATGTGTATATTTGAACAATGAAGATGAATGCTCGTGGTGATTAAGAAATCAAATGTAGAGCAATACGATCTCAGTGATGCTAATTGTAACAAGCCCTTTAAAATGTGCCAACTGAATGTGGGTTGACACTGCTTCAACTCTGACATACAACTTGGCTAAAATTTCTTTTCATAATCAAGATCATTACATGATAATGGGGCAATGGGTTTGAAAAGTACCATGCTGTGTCAAAAATGCTGTCATCAAACTGCTTGGAGCAAGAACAACATTGAAGTAGAGGAGCACATAGGCAAGGCTTGCAGGAAGAACTGGCTGCTGCATGTATTCCTTCCAACCAAGCTTGATAGTTTCCAGACCTCTATCCACTGTTTATCCAGAAAACAAATCCATGAGTTTAGCTAGAATAGTGCCCTCAATCAAGAATATCAATGACATTAACTTCTTCACCTATACTGCCGGAATCAACCACAGCTTCTTCAGTAGACTCTCTGCAACAGGTTTGACAAGATCTTGGACGGTCAAGAACCCCAGCAGCAAGCTTGTTGGTTAACCATGTGAGACCAACCTGAGAAATGGCATTAAGAGTCAGAAATGACAGCAGAAGAATATTTAAACAAGGAGGATAGCAGAAAACTGATTACCATAACTGGTAACGACCAGATCATTGAAGCGGCAGCAAACTTCAAGCAAGTTACTGGCTCATACTTGGAAAGAAGAATCCCAAATATTGATGCTCCAGCTATCTGCAATCATGTGCAATTAGAGGTCTACTAGCAGTAAATTTCCATAAATGATGCCTATTATGATAGTCCAATTACACTTTATGTTACGTTTCTGAAAGTGGAAGTGAACTGATCTAAGGTTATATGTACTTCTTGGATTATGCAATAAGAAAATATACTATTGTCATACTTATACAAGTCCATGCACACCTCACAGAGAAGATCAATTCGATTAAGAACAGCGTTTGCTTTTGCAAGTGCAATAGGCCTATTCATTCCTGCTAACTGTACACACAGGCACAGTGCATTAGAGATTGCTAAACTTTCCAAGAGAAGGAAACAATAACCACCAAAGAATATGGCCAAAATGAAAGCACATAAAGGCAATACCAGTATGACCCAATCACGTTCCATAGCAACCCCTGTGGCTACTCCACATAGCCTCTCGATAGCCCCCGCTAACACAAGTACCATAAACCATGGACGAAGAAGAACAGATGATGCAGAAGTAGGAGAAACAGTATGTGCATGAATTATCATTGTAGCAGATAACAACTGTGCAGCTGCCTGACAAAAAAACAGAAGAATAAAGAACAGAACTGCAAGAGATAGTCCACATCCAGCTAGGATGTATGATGTTATAGAAATTACCTGGACAGCATTTAAACTGATATATGCAGGTACTCTGGGAGAATAGTCCATGAGTTTGCCAACCAAAGGGCCGCCAACAATTATTGCAAGCTGTTTAACGCAGTGCTTGTCAGAAAGTATCCTCTCGACTATAAATAAACGAGTCTGGTTTAATGTATTGCCAAAATTACAACCTTGCTGAAGAAACCCATGACTGCCACTGGTAAAAGGCTAGGATGAAGCAATGCAATAGCTGAAGGCCAAGCAAAATTCCACAGCTGTTCCACTAAATTTCCAGCCAGACTACTAGCATAAAGTGCTGCATCACACAATTCCTTCATGTTATGATGATCTGACATCAACTGGATGTTTTTCTATTTTAATAGGACATAAAAGCATCATCATGCAAGCAACAGCCGATGATTTTGATAAAAGGTGGAGAACTATTGTAAGGGCATGAGAAACCAAACACTTTCTGGAAGAAAAGCTGCAATATCATGCAAATTAATGGTCTGCCACCATTATGCCCCACTATAAAAATCAGATAGACACTCATAGGAATCCAATATCCTTCCGAAACAAAAAATTATAAAATCAACATCTGATTCCATCTAAAAGACTGGGATCTCCAATCTGCAAGACACAGGAATGACTTCAACAGCAGTTATAAAAGCACCAGTGGGACATTACCCAAAAACTTGCTGGCACAAATATGGTTAGGGAGCACATAAAGCATCATAACATCTTTTGACTCTTTAACAATGTTCATATCTTTCAAGCTAACACCACTGTGTAGTTATATATATAGGCAGGAGCATTAAACTTACCATACAATCCAACCGGATGGGCTGGAGTTGCTGCAAGGGCATTCTGCTCCTCCTCTGATAAAACCTAAAACAAAAACAACAGATTGATGAGAGAATAATATGCTGATAATTGAGAACCCTAATATTGAGAGGCAACTTAAGAGGATTAACCGACAATAGACTTACAGGCAATGCTGTCAAAACACTATCTATATAAGTTGTCTCAGCTAGTAAACTCAGAGATTCAGATTCAAGAATATCCGTATTGAGATGAACAATAGGGGTTGAACAATCACATGCAGCAGCTGATAAATCTTGTGGTGCCTCATCCTCAGTGACAACATTGCTCAAGTGTAAGTCAGTATTCGTAATTGAGCACCTTGAATTTAAATTCCGGAATCTGCAAAATTATTTGTCAAATTTAATTTTCTTATTGGTACATTCATTAAAATTTTGATTTTCCAGCTGATACAACTCATTTAAAAAATAAAAAATAAAAAAAATTAAAGCAGCTCCCTTTTTAGTTCTTCCTGTTTCAAAATATAACAATTCAATTCAACTTAGCTCACTAACAGCATTAAGCACAACAATATGCACACTGACATCCAATAATTCCCTTTCCTCATTTGCATTTTCTCAGCAACCAAACACTACACAACTTTCTCATCTCATCATTTCCAGGACAAATTTCAACCCAAACCAACTTAGTATCCAAAACCCAGACGAGCATAACTCCCAAAAATCAATAAATCATCCAAACACACCATACAAATCCCAAAAAAACAAATACTAATAAACAAAATTTACCTGCATGATTTTGAAGGTGAATCCAAACTCAATCTCCTGCAAGCATTGATGCTATAGCGAACTCTCGAAGCAGATGATGGCAATAAAGAGGCTTGTCTAATAAAGAAGCCACTGGAATTGAAAGACTGTGAAACTGTGACCATAGCCATAACAAAGACTTCAACTTTAACAACTTCAAGTAACCAAACTTGAAGAAAAACCACTTAGTACTGTAAAATTCTTGAATACTCATGCAGCCTTCAAGAAATTCAAACTTTAAGGACCCTTTTGGCTAAATTTTATTGGGTTTGATTTCATTAGAGAAATAAAGAAGCCAGCTTTTTCATAATTTGAGTGTAAAATTTTGATTTTTTCGATATGGGGCTTTCAAGAAAGGAAGGTTTTTTGACGAGGTTAAGTGAAAGAAAAACCTTATCTATGGTGGCTTTGGGTTGTGTCTGATTTTTGTTTTGTCAGAGTCCGCCCCTGCAGGCGGACTGTCCGACTTCAAGTGGGAGTTTCCTTGCTTGCTTGTGTGGCTATTAGTTTTGATGACTCACTCTATTGATTTTTGTTTTTTGTTCCTTTTAGCAGTTTTTGTGGGTTTGGTGGCCTTTTGTGGGGGCTTTAGCTTACCAACTAGATTTCGCCATGCTGCAATATGAAGTTCCACAAAAATTTGGATGTAGAGAATAAAAACCAAGTGGCAACATTAACCAAGAGGGGGAAAAAAAAAAAAAGAGAGAGAGAGAAGAGAAGGAACAGAAAACTAAAAACGTGGCAACCGCTATGGTTAAATCCGATCCGAACCAAAATTCAATTAATTTTTTTCGGTTATTAAGTTATTGGATAAATTTATGAGTCATTGGATTGATTTATAGATTCATTTTTTATCATTTGTAAATAAAAAGAAACTCATTTTTTTTATTTGATCGGGTTTGAACTAGATGAATAATTAAATCTACTGAACTGATCGAATTGATTGAATGTTAAATAAATCAATCTGGTTTGATTGCATCAATGACTTTAATGGTTCGATTACAATTTCAATGTGGCATAGGCTTCGCATCTTTAGGATTGAATCAGGTTTCTGCAGTTTCAATGTGTACGAAAATTCGGGAACTTCATTTGGGACAACCTTTTTCTTTTTCTTTCCTACAAAAAATCTCAAATTTAATGAGTAAATTACAAATTAGTCCCTGTGGTTTTGAGAAATGAATGAATTAGCCCTCCTTGGTTTAAAATCTAATGGTTTAGTTCTTTAACTAATGTTGACCAAATTTAATCTAATATTATTTTCTTTTAAAAAATGTCTTCTTTTCTAATCAATCTTGCATAATATCTATTTTTTTACTTTTCTATTTAAAAACTAAATTATAAAAAAACATAAAATTAATAAAAAAAAATTAAATAATTAGTTTTTTTGAAACAAAAAAGACTGATCAATTCATTTTTTAAAACTAGAAACTAGAAAGATTAATTTATAATTTACTCTAAATTATTTGATGGGCTCTCGGATAATTTATTTGGGTAAAAAAATAGAAAAGTAGAAGAACTTTAATACGATGTTTTTGCCTATTCATGATGTTGCTTGAACTGGCTTATGTTATGTAAGCAGGCTTGTAATCTAGTCAAAGGAAAAGATAATGGACCTAGATTAGATACAAAGCTGTGGTTGGATGGGCTATTTTAGGCAAGCCATCTTATCAAAATGTGAATTGCCCAAATGGATTAGACTTGTACATTTTTTAAGTTCATTGGGTGGGCTACGGACGTTCAAATATACAATGAAGAGTAGTCTTTTTTCATCAGAAATTTTAAAATACTCCACTAATAATTATTGTATACTTACTATAATTATTCCATGAGCCTATTTTTAGAAGATAAATAGATAAAAAAAAAACACATTCGGATCCACTAAAAGTGATAAAAATATTTCCACCTAGGTTCAATTTTTTTTTCTTTTTTTTGTGTCTGTTTTTTTTTAATTATATCTCTATTTTTGTATCGATCTCTCTCTTATAAAGTAAATATTGATAGTTACTCTTGAAGTAATATAAAGTTTTTATTTTTTCATTATACAATCATTAAATAGCTTGGAGCTATTAATATTTGAATTTTATTTCACTAAAAAAAACAACCGAATACATAACTGTGAGATTAAACTTCCTTGTATGTGGTTGGACTTGAACATTAACCATGTTATATGTTAAGGTTTGGCTCACATAAGAGATTAGGTAACATCACATTCCATAGCATACCGAGCCCTTAAAAAAATGATTTCAATATTCTTGAAGAATTAATATGCTGAATTCCTAAAGTCTAATGCCAACATTTGGTAAACCACAATTAAAGGGAAATGAAGATTGATTGCAGTTGCTTGTTGTCTCTAGTTGCATATATGAAGTACTGGTGTTGGCACTTGGAAAAAATAAATTTCCAAGAACAATATATAGGCAATAATAATCAAAGAGGTAGTTTGGCAAGCCAACCATCTTGGTCAATAAAGGAAGACTTCGAAAACTTCTGGAGCTGCTCTGCTGATAGCTTCTTTTCCCATTGAACACGCTTTGATGTGTTAGCCCCTGGTCCTTTACAACCAACTTCGGCGTACGTTAAATTAGTCCTTGAAACAAGAAAATCAAGGTAAGTCATGAAGATATCGAGAAATAAGAAACATTAATCAATAGATCTATCTTGACGAAACGTTAAAAAGATGCTAAATAAACTTACTCATGCCCTACGGAATGCCAAGCATCCCACCCTCGAGGATCAACTACTTCAGATAGAAATGATTCTCGAAATATTACTGTCGAGTATGGTCTAAAAGCTCTTCCGAGTAGGGCTTGAACACCTTTAACTCCAGAAATAGTGCAACGACTAAATACGAAACCATTTGTATCATTAGGGTACTCTCGAGCTTGGGCTGTTATGAAACCTCCAATAGTGACATTTATTGAGCAAAGCTGCATGAACCACATGAGATACACATTTTATGGTTAAAATTATTTATTTTATAATTCAAATCTAGATCCTCAAGCATGCCAGATTTCTATTTTTCTTTGCATTATCATGGAAAAGTTTTTATTGCAAGGTCTTTTTTAATTTTTTTTAATAGATAATAAGATATCTTCGAATTAGCTTTCACATCAATCGAAATTAAATTTATCATTTTTTTAAAATTAAGTCAACGTTAAAATACCCGTTTAATCTTTGATCGATCACTAGGCTAGCTATTTTTAAGCCAAATTAACCCTAAGTCTAATGCCACTAAAGAATAATTATTGCATGATTGTATTACAGTAGTATAATAAAATCATCGTATCATGTCATTATGGTAAGTAAAAATGTTAAAAACAGCAATATTGGTGAATAATTATAGTACTATATCTAAGAGAAAAAATGATTTTCAGGCATATATAAACTTATTGTAGAAAGTCTAGATATATAAACTTATTGTAGAAAGTCTAGATATATAAAACTTACCTCATAGAAAGATTGGCCAGCACCAAAAATAAAATCTACTGCACCTTCAATGTAGCAACGAGAGAAGTGATGTCGGCCTTGGGCATCCCACAAAGTATCTTGAACCCCCAAGAAAGCACAATCATAGAAAGCTGACTTATCACCATAAATCCGTGCTGAAAGTGCAGGTAATACTCCTGGTATCTTGATTCCCTTATTTTTGTTGTAAAATTTTTTCTTCAATGGAAGGTTAAATGAATTCTGCATTATTGATAAACAAGCACGAAATTTTTAGTTATTTAAAGAGGATTATGATGTTATATGTGGGTATAATTCTTCCTGTTTGCTTGGGTTCTTAAAAGGGCCAAAGAAATAAAAGAGTAATTTTAGCTTAGAGTTAACGGTAAAGGACCCTTTTTACATTTTTTTTATATATTTTTTAAATGAATAATTCTAAAGGACAGTTGTATGAAGGGGGAAAAAACCTCAAAATGTTTAAAGGGCAAAAGAAAAAAAAAACAAAAAAATAAATATATATATATATATATATTATTACAAGAAAAGAAAAGAAATAAATGAACTAAAAAAGAAAGGGTTTTGATCATATATTATTATAGCACATATCCCATACATATCCCACAAACTATGGGATATGTGCTCTAATAATATATGATCTCTATATTTTTTTGAACTGTTGTGATTGAGATCTTGTATTTTTTTTTTTATTAGTTTTTTAAAATGTTGTTAGTTTGTTAACATATGTGGTACATTACCTTCCTGAATTCATGACATGTATTATATGTGAGATCCTAATAAAAAAATTTAATCAAATAATTCAAAGAATATGAGGCTTCAATCAAAACAATTCACAGAGTACATAGATCAGTTTTTTTTTTTAATTTTAATTTTATTATTTTTTAAGACCTCATCTTGAATGCGGTAAAATATGTCATATGTGAGACCTCATCGAATAAAAATACAAGGAGTATAAATATTTTAAAATTATTATAATAATTTTAAAATAATAAAATACATACAAAAGAACCTAACATTAATTAAAAAAAATAGATTACAAATATATTCATTAAAATTAAAATGAAGCTAACTAGTAGATAATTATCTATATAAAAAAAATATATTGAGCGAGTCCTTAATTTTTTTGAGAGAGCAACCCCATTTTTCACTTTAAATAAGTCAAATATTCAATATTTCTTACTTTTTGTGGAGGAATAGACTCATTAACTAAGAATTTATGACTAATTGATATTGCACATTGCCACATTTTTATTTTAATAATTACACATTAGGTTTTTTTTTATTTTGTAATGTATTATTTTTTGATCCTTATACTTTTAATTGTTTTAATTGAACTCTTGTATTAAAATCCCATGTATAAAACGTGTCACACATTCAGAAATTTAATATATCATGTCAACTCACAAATTAAGTGCGTTATAACGAGAGAGACACTAACGAGTGTAAATAAAATAAAGAGTAAAAGACTAAATCAATACAAAAAAAGAGTATAAGGTTTCAATCACAATAATTCAAAGAATATAAGGACCATATAAAAAAAAATCCACACACAAAAAAGAGTTAAAAAAATAAAATAAGAGATCGAGATCCTCTCATATTCTTTTTTGCCATGTTTAGTAATGTCTACTGAATCTACACTATTAAATTCAAATTGATTAGACATTATTTAATTCAAAAAATAAAAAGATCATATATAGAAAAAAAAATCCACAAAAAGAGAGTAAAAAACAATAAAATAAGAGACCAAGATCCCCTCATATTCTTATTTTTTTGTGGAGGATTAGACCCATTAACTAAGATCTCGTGACCGGTTGATATTGTACATTGTTATATTTTTGTTTTAATAATTGCATGTTAAGTTCGTTTTTATTTTTATTTTATAATATATCATTTTTAACTTATTATAAAAAAAATACATCATAATTTTCATGTGACGAGATCTCACTAGTGAGACATTTTGTGCATTTAGGATGAGTTTTTTTTTATATTAAAATAATAACATAAAAAAATAATTTGGTTATTATATTCTTGAAATTGTTTTGATTGAGACTCAATATTAGGATCTCTTGTATGATACGTGTCACACGTTCAAAGCATAGTGTGCTACATCAGCTCATAAACTAATGACGTTATAACAGAAGAATGGTTTAAAAAAAAAAAAAAAGGATACAAGACTAAATCAATATGAAAAAGTATACAAAGTCTCAATAAAAACAATTTAAAGAGTACATTGACTATATATGGGAAAAGAAGAAGAAGAAGAAGAGTTAAAAAAAGAAAATGAGAGATTGAGATCCTCTCATATTCTTTTATGTCATGTTTGGTAATGACTACTGAATCTACACTATTAAATTGAAATTGATTAGACATGATTTAATGTATGATAAAAATGACAAAAACTTACCTAATTATTATGAGAAATTTTTTCTCGCCTAATTCAAATTAATGATGATATTTAAAACATAATAAGTCATGTTTCCTTAGAAAGTACAAATTAACATTTAACTACCAAAAAAAAAAAAAAACGCAAAATCATTTCACCTGGAAGGTTATGCCCTGTGCTACAATATTGCTTGGTGAAGAAGTAAAAGTAGCACTACTATCGGTATTTTGATGTGCATTATAAGTAATCACTGTTCGAATACGATCTTGTCCTTTGAGAAAAATACATGGTTTCTCAATTGGAATAGTCACTTGTTCTCTGCACATTATTATAATCCAAGAGGACAAGTTTTTAGTGGAAAATCAACATATAATTAACGATAAATATATGATAAATTAAAAGCTGCATTTTCAAAATAATAATAATAAATAAATAAAAACAAGATGTAGGTAGAGCAGAGAATATATTACATGTAGGTGCCAGGATTGATTTGAACTTGGATCCAATGATCATTATTTTTTGGAATGGAATCAATGGCATCTTGAATTTTTTGGAACTGCCCTTTGCCGTATTGATCAACAATTATGGTCTTGGCAACTTTTGATCGACCTATTCCCGGTTTACAATCAACTATTGGTTGAGAATTCCCCAAACACATGGTGATGAACAAGGTGAAAATGAAAATAAATTGTGGCTGCTGCATTTTTGTGAGAAAAATGGTGAAGTTGAATCAATATTGGGGAAGTTCTAAAATCTTAGAATGGTGAATAAATTTATTGCTTCTGCATTCTTAGTTTCACGCACACACACATACATATATACATGATGACATTCTTGCTTATATATTGCCAATATTTTAAGAAGGTTTTTATGAGAGCACCCGTTGATTAATATAAATGGAATTATATATATATATATATATATATATATATATATATATATATATATATATATATATATATATATATATATATATATATATTATTGCTTTTATTGCCATTTAAGAAGGTCATTATATTCTTCGAATTAAATCATGTCGAGTATTATATATGTTTTCTCGCAATGTGATTTTCTTCTTATTTTGTGCTAAATTTTAAGATTCTGAATTAATTTGTAGATAATATACTAATAAGCACATAAATCCTGGTTAAATAAGCTTAAGAAGCATTAAAATTGAATGTGTGTGAAAATGAGACCGTAGCCATAATAAAGACTTAATTCAACTTAAACCACCATGATCAATTGCTATATGAATCTTGCATCCTCATGGCATCGTCCAAGAAACTAAAAAACTGAAGATCTTTTTGGATAAATTTTGTTGGGTTAGAAGTGCCAACTTTTATATATATATATAACTTGTGTGTCAGCATGTTTATGTTTATGGTTTTTCTGTTTTTTCTTTGGGAGATGGGCTCTTAAAAAATAAGTTTTTGTTAAATAATTACACAATAAATTTAATTTTATTGTGTAATGTGAAAAAATAGATTATTATTATTATTATTATTATTATTTTGTGCAATGAATTCTTATACTTACGGATTTAGGTAAATCTATGACAATGCGGAAGGTAATTATTAAGAAGATCGAAGTTTCAATTTCCAAAGGGAAATAAATATCAGAAGATTTGATTGCCCGGTCTATCTAAGGCAGTGATCAAAGAGGTAGCTTGGCAAGCCAGCCATCTTGATCGATGAAGGATGATTTTGAAAACTTATTGAGTTGTGTTTCATCAAGCTTCTTCACCCATGACGCACGCTTTGAAGTGTCTGATCCCAATCCTTTACAATTAACCTCTGCATAGGTGAAATTGCCCCTAAAAAAGTAACAACATTAAATCAAAAAATGTTGAAAATCAAGAAACAATTTATTAGTCTCGAATTCGAGTCTTAATGAAATTATATATACATAGAACTTACTCATGCCCTACGTAAGTCCAAGAATCCCATCCAAGAGGCTCAACCACTTCGGATAAAAATGTGTCCTTGAAGATTACTGTTGAGTATGCCCTGTAGGCTCTCCCAAGATAAGCTCGAACACCTTTAAGCCCATAAACATTGCAACCACTAAATACAAAACCATTAGCGTCTTGAGGAAATTCTCTACCTTGAGCTGTTATATAACCTCCACCCGTAACATTGATCGAACAACTCTGCATAAATCATCCATGAGAATATCGTCCATAATTTTATGGATTAATAGTTGAATATATTTTTATATAATAGAATAATTTTTCATTTTGTTTTTACATCCTTAATTGAATTAATTTTATATTTCAAAATACAATAAACATCTAATATATCATTATGACTAGATTTTTAGGCTAAATTAGCAAAGTTAGTCACATAATTTGTACATAAAAATATTTTATTTAACTGAGTCGTAAAGCTGTTTTAGAAATAAAAATTGATTATGTGCAAAGAAAGTAAATCATTCTGGTATTTTGATTTGAAAATCTTAATTAAAAATTTAACTTATATTTAAAAATAAAATTGACTCAATTAAGAATAAAGAGATAAATTTAAAAATTATCCAATTATATTTATAGCTAAAATTTCCATCAACAACTAACCAAGTCTACCTTTTGAAGTGAATTTTTTTTTCAATTATAACAGTAAGATTTTAGTGCATATATAGTCCAGTACACCAGTATATCTAGTGAAAAAAGATTGTATCTTTGAAATATGTTATAGAGTATATAAATTTGGTTTTCGAGATTCACTTATTGTATAAATTAAATTAAATTAAATTAGATTATTCAAAGACAAATATTACCTCGTAAAAAGATTGGCCAGAACCGAATATAAAATCTACTGCTCCTTCAATGTAACAATTATACAAGTGATGCCGGCCTAGGGCATCACACAATGTATCTTGAAACCCAAGGAAAGCACAGTCATAGAAAGCAGATTTATCACCATAAATTAGAGCTGAAACTGCTGGAACTGTATGACGTAACTCTTTTTCCTTGTAGATCTTTTGCATCAATTGACGGTTGAATGAATTCTGAAATAATCAACAACCAAGTAAAAATTGAAAATCATGGTACTAAAGTGATCATTGCTTATTATCGAAATCAACTTGTTGTATACATACTGAATATGATGAGTAATTGTACAAATTATCCTTACTACAAACACTTCCAAAACTATAAATCATACATTATAATTACAAAGAAATCGCTTGAAATTTAGAAATCCAATAATATAAAAGAAATTTCGGACGAATATTTACTTCATTTGTAGGATTAACTCACAACCTCTCGGAACAAACAGATTGTCTCTTGATTCGTTTCGCCATCCCATTCAATATATCATTAAAATTTGTTTGCAATAAAATCTTTTTGATTAATAATTAAGTCTTAATTATACAATAGAGCCCTTAATGAATTTGTTTTAGAGTAAATATCTATCAATATATACATAATATATGCCTATTGAAAAAATCAATAGTTATTTAATTTATGGATATTTAATTCTGATTGTTTTGAGAACAAGAAACAAAATTGTAAATGAACCGGAAAGAAAACACAAAAACTCAACCTTTTACCTTGAAGGTTATACCCTTTGCTACAATATTGCTTGGTCTTGAGGTAAAAGTAGCACTAATATCAGTTCTTTCATGTGCATTATAAGTAATGGTTGTGAGTCTGCTACTTTGTCCTTCAAGAAAAATACATGGCTTCTCAGGTGGAATGGTCACTTGTTCTCTGCACGTTATTAGATCATAATCCAAGACATTTATTTTTTCAATGAACATGGATGAAAAAGAATGGTACAAGAAGAGCATATGTTAAGTTAAGAAATGAGCGTAGAGAAAGAATATATTACGTGTAGATGCCAGGATTGATTTGAACTTTGATCCATTGATCGTTATTTGTTGGGATGGAATCAATAGCTGCTTGAATTGTTTTGAAGTTTGCTTTCTCAGACTGATCAACAACTATGGTGTATGCAACTTTTGACCCACCATTTCCAGGTTTACAGTCAATAGCTTGGGAAACACTAAGAGAAGTGATGATAAACAAGGTGATAATAATGGAAATGGATGTTCGATGCTTCATATTTTTTTTCGTAAAAGAAAAATAAAATGGGAAACTGGGATAAGAAGCACGATATTCTCACTTGAGCAAATATATTAAGGAATGAAACTCAGTCTCGATTGACGATTGACATAAAAACTGATTAAAAAACCGTCGAATCAAAAAAGAAAAAAAACTTATTATTTGAGAACAATGTTTAAGTAAATGTAGCTGGCATAGCCCTTTAATGGAAAAAAAAAATTAATTACTTGTGGGCAATTCCTAACTCAGTACATGACTTGTTCCAGCAGTGAACTTCCTTATCAAAGGATCCATATATGAAGAAAAAGTTTTGGTTCTTGATGTTTGTTTGCAGTTTTATGGTCAATCTGGTTATCTATAAATGTTCGTGTCTTCAACAATATAGGTAAGGCTACTGGGTTCGTCTGTGGCTTGTTTATCTGGAGAAGAAAATTCAAGCAAATGATTTCATAGTTATTTTACCTTTTATGCACGTTTTACTTTGTCGTTTAAGTACACTGTTGCTTAATGTATCTAAGCCTGTAATATTCTGAAGCAAAACTGGTTGTTTTATTTGTACAATTTTCAATTATCTTAATAGTTTAAAATTGTATGGAATTAAATTATTGAGATTGAGTTTCGTCCAAAATATTTAAGGTTTATATTAGGGAATCATTCACAACTTTATATCTTAATTATTTTTTGTTTAACCATTGAAGGATATGTTTTCTAATATTCTCCTTCACTTGCAATCCTTCTTTAAAGATTTTTAAGTGGTTTGGGCTCTCACTTGTAGTCCATCTTCTGGGATCTGTCAAATAGTTTTAGTTTTACGATCTTTGTTGGACTTTTAGGTTTCGTAAGGTTCTATATCATATAGAGTTAGATAGTTGAAATGAATTTCATCTAAGAAACTTAACCTTGTGGTATGTCATATCCTAAATTTTAAGTTATATTGTTTTCCTTAATTTTATCCCATTTATTTCTCTTTTATTTATTATTTTAGTTTATCCTCTTTTATTTATTATTTTAGTTTATACCTTATTTTATTTCATTTTCATTTTTTTTAATATTTATTCTATCTTTATCTATTTTATTTTAGTACTTATTATTAAAAGAACAAAAATCAAAAAAGCAAAATATATCAAAATAAATATATAAATACATAAAATATAAAACTGAAGGATAGATTTAATCGAGGGGTATAATTGCGTTAAATCAACTTGAAATTAGAAGCTAATAGGGGCCAAATTAAATACAAAAATTAGGACGACTTAAGAGCATGGTTGAAAGGAATCGGAGGATGCGATTGAAAAAAATTTCGGAAGTTGTGGGACTGATTTGGCAACTTGCATTTGAGACAGTGAACGTTCGTTCACTGCGTTGGAAAACGAGTAATGGTTTCGATCATTCCTGGTTTTCTAACTGTTTTGATTCCCTCAGTCAGCTCATCGATCCATCTCTCTTGCTTGGATGCAAGCCGAGCTGCAGCAAATGGAAAGGATTAGAACGTTAGGAAATAACAGAAAGGGGAGAGAGAAATTTTGATCGAACGATTGGCAGTAAAGGAAGGGAATGAAAAATTGGTTTTGTTGGGAGAAGTTGGGTATAAATAGGAGTAGGTTAGAGTTCAGAGACAAGAGGATCGATAGAGAAAAGGGAAAACCAGAGCAGAGAGTGTAAAGAGGGAAATATGGGCACTTGAATTTTCTGAGTTTGGTTGAGGTTTTGGGTTGGTGTTCTTGAAGTTCTGGGTTTTGCTTGAATTTTTTGGGTTTTCTTTTAAATATCTGGGTTTCTGTTCTTCGTTCTGAGTTTGCTTTGGTATTCTGGGTTTCGAAAACCACCAGAAATAATTTCCTTCAAGAGTTTGTGAGTCCTTAATCATCAAAACAACAAGATCCAGATTGAGTCATCCTCAATCACCTGCAAGCGCTAGAATTTTTTGGGTTTGCTTTGGTATTCTGAGTTTCGAAAAAACACAAGAAATCATTCCCTTCAAGCATTTGTAAATTCTCGATCATCACAACAACAAGCTCCTGATTGCATGATCCTCACCAAATCAATCCACCAGTCATCCTCCATCACCCGTAAGCAGAGTAAAATCAAGGCAATCCCACTCTGTCTTTCAACAACAAGCTCCTGATTGCATGATCCTCACCAAATCAATCCACCAGTCATCCTCCATCACCCGTAAGCAGAGTAAAATCAAGGTAATCCCACTCTGTCTTTCAAACTTATCCCAGTCATTTAGACTTTCCTCAGGTAATCCGAATCTCTACCTTTGTCTATAATTAAGCAGTTTGACTCCAGTTTGTTTGAATAAAGGAAGATGACAGTGACATTGTCATTGTCATTGATTGAGTCCAAGGACTCAAGTTCATCAAATCGTCCAAGAAAAGGGAACTGTAAGGGGAACCAATAACCAATGGATTAAACTCACGAGGCAGTGATAAGCTGGACATTTGGTCCGAAATGAAGAAAGAAACAAAGAAAAGGAAGACGAAAAGGACAAAAGAAAGAAAGGAAAAGAGAAAGAGGAGAGAGGGCTGGACTAGGCCTGGCCCAAAAAAAAAAAAAAATAGCCTGGGTCTAGCCCAGCTCGAAAAAAATATATATAGACTGAGTTGGTACTAGCTCAGCCGAAAAAGGAAGAAGAAAGAGAAGAAGGGGTTGCCATCAACCGAGCCCAGGCCCATGGGTCGAAAGCCCAATGGGCCCAATGGCCCCTTTTTAAAAAAAACATTTTCCCTAAGAAAACATGCCTGAATGTTTTAATATATGCTTTATTATTATTATTATTATTATTATTATTATTATGCCTAGTTTAAGATTAATACTTTTGAATTGTTGATTTATTTATTTAATTGAAATGTTTAAATTGTTTAGGTTTTCTTTCAAAAATTAGAATAGATAATTAATCGGTGGATGAATTATCGAGTCTCCTAATTTTCGAGGACTGATGATAATTCTTCACCAATAAAAAAACAACAAAGATAAAAAGAAAAAAGTAAAAAAAATCATAAGGAAAAAAAATTAGTTAAAAAAATATATAAAAGAAAAAGGAATATATATATATATATATAAGGAAAAATAATGAGAAATTACAAAAAAAAAAAAAAAAAAAAAAGAGAGAGAGAGAAGGAAAATCCTATATATAAGGAAAAATGACAAAAAAGGAGAAGGAAAATCCTAGATAAAAAAAATAATGAGAAATATAAGTTGGAAAAAATAGAAAATATTAGGAAAATTTAACAAAGTCTTATATCTAGTAGGAACTCGTTGTTAATTGAGATAAATCACTTTAGTAATTAGGTTGTTCTCCGACATACCGGTTATATCGAGACTTAAACCGCATCCGATGTTGAATTGACGTGATGTCCGACGAAAGGGTCCAATGATCGATTCAATATGATTGCCACGGATAAAAAATAAAAAATTAATTTGACATAGGAAATAAAACTTGAAAATTGACTTAGAAATATTTTGGTAAGAATAAAACTTTCAAGAGGTAAATTTTAAGATTAAACTAAACATGATACATTTTTTAAGAAATGATGCTTTTTGATGATTGATATCTTTCCAAAAGTAGAACCAATTTCTTATCTAAGAATCTTTGAATCAATGCCCATTTTAAGTTCATAGTTTCTTTAATACTAAATAATGACTTCGAAATTAATAATAACTCTTATCCCCAAACAAATAATATTTTCAACCAAAATAAATCTTAAAAGAATTTTTGGAAGTCCCGCAACGGTAGTGACTTGGTGGGTTATTATTTCTCAACTTTATATATTAATCATTTTTTGTTTAATTATTCAATGTAAGATATATTCTCTAATATTTGGTATTGGCCAATCTTTCAATAAGATAAGATTTTGCATGGAAGACTCTTTCTACACTAGTTATGGCTGAAAAAAATCATTTTTTTTCCTTGATGAAGAACTCTAATAGGTCATCTTAGAAGTTTCATTTTGTTAGAAATATTATAATGCTACTCTGATTTCAAAAGGCTACAATTGACTTTGCACTAATATTACCATGTTCAATGCAAAAATGAAATTAATTAAAAGAAATTTGGCATAATTAAATATTAGACTTGATTAATTATTAGGAAAATTATTAATTCAAAATGTGTATCTCATGATAGTGCAAAGTTGCTCGACAAATGGTTTAATATTTAGTCATTGCACAATTTCAAATTACAGGTGTTCAAGTTTTTTCAAAATTAAATATTTTTTTAAGAGATTTTAAGAGTGCATTGTTTTATATCTTTTTGATGTATTAGAATTCAAAAGGATAAAAAATAAAGAAATTTTTTTTAACTCAACACCTATAAAATGAGAATAAAATTTTTACTTTCATTTCCACAATTTCATTCTTTGTTATCAAATGTCAAAAAAGAATCTCAACTCAAAAATTTAAATTGTTAGGTGAAGCTCTAAGAATAATTTTATATTACTCTCTAATACATTCTCTTAAGTAAAAGCCTTTTGATTTTGAACTTAGAAAAACCTACACTATCTTGTATTTAATTAATTAGAAGAAAAATAATAATGATGAGATACGAATTTACAATTGTTTGGTTATTAAAACTCTTATACCATATCAAATTAAAAAATCATCTCAATCCAAATATTTAAGTTGTTAGGGGAAACTCCAAAAATGATTTTATATTTTTCCGTAACACCAAACAACACCCTAGGGTTAATGTTGAATTATAAATATTTGGTTTTTTTTTTTTTAATTTTCTCTTGTTTTGTCAGATTTAATTGAGAATAAGTGGATAGTGTGCTTGTTTCTTCAACTAGTTAATGAAGAATTTCAATTTTTAGTACTAATTAAGCAACAAATTAATCGGGTGATATTTTCTATGAAATGGCAATGCAAATCTCATTCATTATATTCCAATTAATGGGCAAGAACGAAACTCTCCCTCTCTCTCTCTCTATATATATATATGCCCATGATGGTCACTTGCTTATCAATTTTAACCATTCCCCGAAGAATATATACAGAAAAAAAGAAATGCAGCATTCACCATTTATTTTCTTTGTCACCTTGTTCATTGTCACTTCTCTTGGGGTCTCCCAAGTTATTGATTGTAAACCTGGATATGGAGGGTCAAAAGTTGCAAGTACCATAGTTGTTGATCAATCCGGAAAAGGAAACTTCAGAACAATTCAAGCAGCCATTGATTCCATCCCAACAAATAACTATCAGTGGATCAAAGTTTATATCAATCCTGGCACCTACACGTAATTTATTGTTTCTCTACACTTATTTCTTAACATATGCTCTTCATCCATTTTCATTGAAAAATTAATATGTCATGGATTGTATATGATCTAATAATGTGCAGCGAACAAGTGACCATTCCAGTTGAGAAGCCATGTATTTTTCTAGAAGGACAAAGTCGCAGCCTCGCAACGATTACTTATAGTGCACATGAAAGAACTGATCTTAGTCCTACCTTTACCTCAAGACCAAGCAATATTGTAGCAAAGGGTATTACCTTCAAGGTAAATATTTGAATTCGTCCCCTCTTTTTTAGACATTTGACCGCCCCCCTTTTTTTCTAAATATTTATTATATATTTTTTAAAGGTTGCATATTACTCCATAACGTATCTATAAAAGAATTTTTTTTTTCAGAATAGCGTATATAAAATCATTATTTAAACAAACTATTTTGTGTTATTATATTCAATTTTGATATGATAATTTTGTTTAAATCAAATATTACACATTAAAGTAAGACAATTTTAACACAAATAAACTTAATTTAACGGTTGTATGTCTAGATATTTTCTTTAGTGAATTCAAATTCTAATAATTCCAATTTTGAATCGAAAAAAAAGTAATACAATTTGTATAATGATACCTATTTGGAAGAGTATTTTTATTTTTACCCTCCATAATAGACTATTATAACAGAAGAAACTATAGTTATTGAAGGTCGAACCTTATTTCCTCGAAGAAAGTTATGGGGTAGATCAATATGAGGCTAAGCTTTTCTGTGTGCCTCCACAGATATATAGTAAAGCAAGGGAAATTAAGAAATATATCTTGACTACTTTCTATCTAGTTAAGACAATAAACGTGAATTAAATACAAACGAAGATTCTGTTATTTAAATAATTAATTTCATGCTTGTTGAAAATTAACAATGCAGAATTCTTACAACCGTCAATTGATGCAAAAAAACTACAAGGGAGACACATTGCCTGGTGTAGTTCCAGCAATATCAGCAGCAATTTATGGTGATAAGTCTGCTTTTTATGATTGTGCTTTCCTTGGGTTCCAAGACACCTTGTGGGATGCCGTAGGCAGGCATCACTTCTCTAATTGCTACATTGAAGGAGCAGTAGATTTTATTTTTGGTTTTGGCCAATCTTTTTACGAGGTAAAATCTTATTGGTGATATAATGCAAATTAAAGAAATTGATCAGATACGTACTTCTAGAGGTAGACTTGATTACTTATTGAAGAAAATTTAATTATATATAAAATAAAATAATGTATCTTAGGGATGATTTCATGCAGGGTTGTGAGATAAATGTTACCGGTGATGGTTTTATAACAGCTCAAGGTCGAGAATTTCCTTACGAGAATAGTGGGTTCGTTTTTAGTCGTTGCATTGTTTCTGGACTTCAAGGTTTTCGAGCTTACCTTGGGAGAGCCTATAGACCATACGCAACAGTGATATTTCGAGAAACAATTTTATCAGATGTGGTTGAGCCCTTTGGGTGGGATGCTTGGATTTATAAGGGACACGAGTAAGTTTATCTCGCATACATATAGTGAGATTCGAACTCGATAACTTTTGATTTTGTATTTTTCAGCAATTTCATTATTTTCTGATTTGGTGTCGACGTTACTTTTTCAGGGGTAATTTCACGTTTGCAGAGGTTGATTGTAAAGGACCAGGATCAGATACTTCAAAGAGGGTGCCATGGGAAAAGAAACTTGATGCACGCCCGCTCGAGAAATTTTCGAAATCATCCTTCATAGACCAAGATGGGTGGCTTCAGAAACTACCTTTATGATTATGATTTTCGGACCTACGTGCTAATTAAATTCTTTGCACAGTTGCCTAGCTAGCTAGAGAGAGCAAGCAATTGTAATCAATTAATTGTTGGGGTAATTAGTCTTCAGAATGACAATCAACGTTCTTTGAGGGTAATGAAATTAATTCTTCAAATATTTATTTGTTTTTCATTAAATGGTTAATTTGGTATTTGTTAGGAGTGTTAAGTTCTTCCGTTTTATTTTAGATTATCCGTGTTTGATATTAAACACTTGGATATAAACATAGACAAGCACCCTAGCTAATTAGATGGAAAAAAAACGAATGAAAATTTGACAAAACATGTATATATATATCGGATACATACTGATCAGATATAGAATTTCCAATCCGAGCAATGCGTGTGACCGGATAGTGGGCCTTAGAGACTGCCGAAATTGATTTAGATTATATACAGTGCTGTAGTTGGCTGGGCTGTTTTTGCTCTTTCACCTGGGCCATTCTCAAATAAAAAATAAAAAAGAACAATTTTTTTAAACAGAAAAAATATACAGGCACAGCCTTCTAATTGGTGAGATGGAGGCCAGAGGAGCATAATATTCCTAAACATTAGTTTCTACTAATGTAGAAAAGGAAGCTTAAATTATGGTCTTCCATTATTGCAGAGATATAAATCAAAAAATAATATTTCTTTCTTGTTCCGCAAAACTTGGTCCAATCATTCGCTCTTAATTTTCAATCTAGTCCCTCTACATTTAGATGTTTTCCAATTAGGTCCTTTAGGCATGTAATTTTAGTCTTTGATTCTTTCAATTTTTTCAATTGGATCCATGGGTCCTTTAATTTTAGTTCTAGGGTTTTCAATTGTATCTTTAATTGTTTTTATTTAATCGCGCCTCTAATTAATCATGTCATGCTATTTTTATATTTTTTGGTATTTTTCTTTTCATTTTTTTGGTAATAATAAATACTGAAATTAAACATTAAACAACAATAAAAAAAAACACAATAAAACATGGTAAATAGAACCTAAAAGGAATAAAATAAATACAATCCAAAATTTGTGTTATAACATATAATTACATTAATTCTTGCTTATCTTGCCGTTTTAAGGATGATGAATGAGATTTCCATTTCCATTTCAAAGTAGATCATAAAATCACGGGCGTAACAGACACCATATTTCTAACCGATCCAAGTTTCTCAGTTTAGTAAACGTAAATTTTTTTAAAAATCGTCTTAATTATATTAATTAGAATAAAATGCATCTAATCAGACGAAATATTTATTCACCTTAATTAGGTATGAAAAATCGTCAGGTTTCCCTGAACTAGCATAATCTAAGCTGACAATATCTTAGATGGCAATAGAGGATAGGCTAGACTAAAATACATCTAACCTGACAAAATTAATCGTCATCTTGGATGCCAAATTAAATTGATGTATTATATAAAAGGCTGTAGTTGAATGGGAAATTGTTGCTCAACATGGTATGCCGAAAATTTTATTCTGAAAGAAATATTCTATAGTCATGATGACTATATATAGCCAAAATGTGATAACCATAATAAAAGGGAATTGAATATTAATTACAATAGCCTTTTGTTATCGTTATACGGAGTGAGCCCTAGCCAAAAAAAATTCCAAGAACTATAAGTAATGATCAAAGAGGTAGTTTGGCAAGCCAACCATCTTGATCAATGAAAGATGACTTTGAAAACTCTTTGAGTTGATTTGCTGATAGCTTCTTTTCCCATGGAACACGCTTTGATTTATTAGACCCTGGTCCTTTACAATTAATCTCCGCATAAGTGAATTTATCCCTTAAAACCACAAAATCAAGTGAAAATCATGAGGATATTGAAATATATATAAAAAAACTGACCGGTTTCAAGTTCGAATCCTAACTAAATATAATATAGGTACGAAATAAACTTACTCATGCCCTGCGTAATGCCAAGCATTCCATCCAAGAGGATCAACCACTTCAGATAAAAATGATTCTTGAAATATTACTTTCGAGTATGGTCTAAAGGCTCTTCCAAGTAAAGCTCGAACACCTCTAATTCCAGAAATAGTGCAACGACTAAATATGAAACCATTTGTTTCATTAGGAAACTCTCGACCCTGGGCTGTTATGAAACCTGCACTAGTAACATTTATCGAGCAACCCTGCACGAATCATGAGATATACATTTTGGATTAATAATTTTCCTAATAATTAATCAAACCTGCATTATTAGTGCAATAACTAGCTGTCGTTAATTGCCTGATTTTTTGTAATTTATGCCAAATTTCTATTAATTAATTTCATGTTTGCATTGCATTGGTAATAATTTTAGTATATACTCTATTGTTGTCTTTTGAAATCAGAGTGGTATCTACAAAATGAAACTTCTAAGTTGACCTATTAGAGTTTCTCACCAAGGGAAAAAAAATGATTTTTTTTCCAGCCATAAGTAGTGTAGAAAGATTATTCCACGCAAAATCTTACCTCATAGAAAGATTGGCCAGCACCAAATATAAAATCTACTGCCCCTTCAATGTAGCAATTAGAAAAGTGATGTCGGCCTTGGACATCCCACAATGTATCTTGAACTCCCACGAAAGCACAATCATAGAAAGCTGATTTATCGCCATAAATTCGTGCAGAAAGTGCCGGTATTACTCCAGGTATCTTGATTCCATAGTAGATATTTTTGTTGTAAAATTTTTGGTTGAATGGAAGGTTATATGAATTCTGCATATCATTGATCAACAAGCAGGAAAATTTCAGCTTTTCAAGAACATGATGATGCTGTGTATATCATTTATCTTTATCAATGTTTTCTTGGGTTCTTAACAGCAAACAAGAAATATATATATATATATATATATATATATATATATATATATATATATATATATATATATAAAGGAATTGTATGTACTATATAAAAAAAAATTTATACCAAGCAAAAGCTTTTACCTTGAAGGTTATGTCTTTTGCAACAATATTGCTTGGTGATGAGGTAAAAGTAGCACTAATATCAGTATCTTCATGTGCATTATAAGTAATCGTTGTTAGCTTACGATCCTTTCCTTCGAGAAAAATACATGGCTTGTCATACGGTATAGTCACTTGTTCTCTGTATTTTTTTTTATGAAAATCGAAATTAAATTAATTAAAAATAAATCAGCACAAAAATACATAGTTGACACATACAAGAAAAAAGATAGAAAAAGAAAATAGAGTAGAAAATGAATTAAAATCAGGCAATTTGATCAGTTGGCCAGTGTCTCTATGGATACACCATAGAAAATGAAAACTGGCACTTTAAAAAGAGACAGAGAGTAAATAAATAAATAAAAAACAAGGTATAAGTAGAGCATATGCTAAAATAAGTAATGGGTGTAGAGAGAAACTATATATATATATTACTTGTAGGTGCCGGGATTGATTCGAATTTTGATCCATTGATTGTTATTTTTTGGAATGGAATCAATGGCATCTTGGATTTTGTTGAATTGCCCTTTGCCGGATTGATCAACAACTATGGTGTTTGCAACTTTTGAACCTCCTCTTCCCGGTTTACAATCAATAGATTGAGAGTTCCCCAAGGAAATGATGATAAAAAAGATGACAAAGAAAATAAGTTGTGGCTGCTGCATTTTTGTGAAATATGGTGAATGGAAAAGCTCTAAAATCTTTAGATTGTGAATAAATATTTGTATCTGCTGCATTCTTGGGCATATAGATTGACATTCTTGCCTTTTCTTGCCATTTAAAGATGGCTCCTGTCAAGCATTGTGTTTTCTGACAATTTAATTCGCTTTTAATGTGTTAAATTTTAAGATTCTAAACGAATGTATTTCTTAAATGAAGAAACTTTATAATACTCAAGAATTAATTAATATAAATTGTTGTATAGAGAGAGATAGGCACAAAAAGAAAAGAGAAATAAGAGAGAGAATTTTTTTTTTAAAAAGCTAATATAAAAATCTTTTTATCATTTTTAATGGGTCTAGATGTGATTCTCTCTTTTATGTGTTTATCTCTTTTCTCAAAAGTGGATCCGTGAAATAATTATTATATATGTACATTAGTTATTATTTAGGTATTATAAAATTCTTAAACAACTAACTTTAAGTTGCACCAAAAATTTCTTAAACTACTAACTTTAAGTTCCACCGAAAATTTGATAACATTAAACAATGTTAGAAAACATATTCTATATTAAAAAAGGACCACCAACCACAAAAGTTTAAGTGTTTTATGGGATAAAACTCAATCTCAATCATCTAACTTTATATGGTATTAGAACCTTAAAGAGGTTCAATACTCCAATAAAGATCTTCGAATCCAATCCACTTGATAAATCTCAAAAAAAACGTCCGTATTTAAGTGAAAAAAAGTGTCGGAGAATAAATTTCATGTTGAGAAAAGATCACCCACCACAAAAGTTTAAGTCTATTAAATGTAACTCAATATCAATTGTCTAACTCTATAAATATATACTTAGTTAGATAGGCTTGTTGTACAAAGAAACCATTTAAATTGAAAGGTAGTGAAACTGTGACCATAGACATAATAAACAATCCAACCTTAACAATTGCGACCAATTCCTATTCATGATCATAAACGTAGTTTCTCAAGCCATCTATCTTGGTCTATGAAAGATGATTTTGAAAATTTCTCGAGCTGGCTTGCATCAAGTTTCTTTTCCCATGGCACACGCTTTGAAGTATCTGATCCTGGTCCTTTACAATCAACTTGTGCAAAGGTGAAATCACCCCTAAAAAAGTAACAACACCAAATAAAAAAAACAATGAAAATGTTGAAAAACACAAAATAATACGCCTTGAGTTCAAACCTAAGTATTATATACATTCAAAATAAACTTACTTGTGTCCTAAATAAACTCGGGCATCCCACCTTATAAAGTTAGATAGTTAAAATTACATTTTATTCATAAGACTCAAGTTTTACAATAGACGACTCATTTTCAATTTTATCTATTAGTATTTTTTTTTTAATTATTCAATATGAAATATGTTGTTTAACGTTTTTTTCATTAGCGAGACTATTTTTTGAAATCTGTCGAGTGATTTGGGCTTCGAATTTTTATTATACTTGTTAGACCTTTTTTGAGATTTTGATATCATATAAAATTAGATAGTTGAGATTGGATCTATCTCAAAAAAAAAAAAACTTAAGATTTTATGTGAGTTTATCCTTCAAGAAAAAAAAAACATGGCTTCTCAAGTGGAATGGTCACTTGTTCTCTGCACATTATGTTAGCACCCAAAAATTTTTCAAAAAATAAAATAAAAAAGAAAAGGGATTGAAAAAAATATAATCGAGGGATGTGATTGAAAAATAAGAAAAAAAATGATCAAAATAAAATGAGTTTGTAAGATGAGGAATCAAACCAAACTTAGTCCAAAAAAACCTAATAAACCAATATAAAAACCCACTTTTCTCCAAAATTTTCAGCCACTTTCTCTCTAAAAAAAGCTTCAACCAGATGTCTCTCACCAAACAAGAATCCTATCAGCCCCTCTCTAGAGAAAACCGAACCAGCACCCTTTCAAAGCTCCAATCAGCCCTATCAGTAAGAATTAAAAAGAAAAGAAAGGATTGTTTATTTTTATTTTTATTTTTATGTGTTTTTACTAGTAAGAATTACAAAGTGAAGAAAAATTAAAACACATAGAATGATATATATATATATATATATATATATATTTTTTTTACTACATAAGAAAACCTTGAGTTTTATAAACTAAAAGATTAATATCGTGGTTGACTTAGGGGTTATCTACATGTCGAGTAGATCCGATCCAATATCTTTGGGTTATCTCATATTCGAATAATGGTGTAAGAGTAACAACAAACAAACAAAAAAAAATTGAATTCTTGATAAAAATATCAAACAATTTGAAAATTGAAAATTAATAAACAATAATTATTTTTTAATAATATAAACTAGATAAATATTTTGGAGAAATAAAAGAAAATTAGACCTCGGTCTCCCTAATGAGTGAGATTAATTCGCTTGTTGCTTTAACATTTTTTTTTTAAAAAAAAAACATTTTCAATTTGAAAACTTTGGAGATATAATTTGTTTTATTATTTTCTATAGTTTACGTAATAATGGTGGATGTTATATTTTTATATATGTTTAAATTGATTTATAATATACAATTGTTTCCAAAAAATAAGTAACAAATTTCTTTAATTTTAATTCATTTTAAATTTATCCTTTTTATCGATCTCTATGATGTAGTTGGACAAAGGGTTTAAAATCTCTCGAAATTAGCGGTAGATAGGTTAATTTGAGCTGTAAAGCAGTTGATTTGACCATGGTTTGAAAATAGAGTGCAAAACAGTGATATTTTGTCAAAATTCGCAGTTAATTTGAACAAAAAAAAAAAAGAGAGAGAGAGAGAGAGAAGAGTTCTAGAGATTCAATTTTTTTTTGGAAACATATAATTTTTGGTACCTAAAATCGGTGTAAAGGTAGGATGACTACATATTTGGTAGGAAATATCGTGCTTTTGATATCATGACATATTTGGATGGATTCCAGTCTACCTGCCTTTTTAAACCTAACTTTTATATATACTTTAATCTGTTATAGATGTGTTTAACCCACTTTTAGAGTTCAAGAGTCCAAAATATTTAAACTTTATTTTTATTTTTTTAAGTCTGTCGGATAGTTTGTACTCAAGATTTTTATTTGATTGTTATCGTCGAACCTCTTTAAAAGTATTATATTATATTAAATTAGATAGTTAAAAATTGATTTCAGTTAAAATATTTAAATTTTAAAATAGATGACTCATTGTTAATTTTATATATTATTTATTCGATGATAAGATACATTCTCTAACAATATTTAAGGATGTTTTTGCACCAATCACATTAAAGTTTGTATCTCATATGCTATATTAATCTAATGAAACTCAAAAATTATACTTAGTGCTTATTTCATGAAATAGAAATCGAAACAAATCTTAAGACATTGTATAGAACTTTGCAGGAGGAAGATCAGGATCAGAGCTTATAAGGTTGTTTTTCAAGCCAACCATCTCTGTTTATGAATGCGTTAATATCTATCAATGAATGCAAATCGTTGGGTGGTAAATTCTTCAACCATTTCACTCGTTTGGACGTGTTTGCTCCAGGTCCTGTGCAATCCACCTCCGAAAAAGTAATTAAATCTCTGCATCAATAAATTTTTTCAGAATTAGTTTTCCAGTTCTCAATCATGGCAAAAATGTTTGCGTAATAATAAATATGCATGGTGGAAGAAGAAAGAAAAGACTTACTCTTTGCCCTTCTCGTTCCATGCATCCCAACCCTCAGGTTGAACAATATTGGACATGAATGTACCCTTAAACACTACTCTTGAATACGGTCTATATGCTCTTCCTAAATACACAGCTCCATTTCCTTGTATACTACACAAATTGAACACAAAACCACTGGGATCGTTGGGGCCATCTCGAGCTTGAGCTGTAATATGACCAGAGGTTGTTCTACCCGGAACTGCTGTGGCATTTAGAATGCATCGCTGCACCAAAATTTTGGGCAAGAACATGATCAGTGTGTTTAGAGCTTCGTTAGCAAAGATTTAAAGAAATTTTGGGCATACACACCAATATTTAAAAACGTTTCCAGACCATATTCCTTACCTCGTAAAATGACCGTCCTTTGCCCCAGATGAAATCTATTGCGCCTTGAATGTAGCAGGATTTGAAATAGTGACGCCCACCTGCGTCTGTCAAAGTGTCTTGCAAACCAGCGAAACCACACTCGTAAAAACTTGCCTTGTCTCCATATATTACAGCAGCGGGTGCCCAAAGAATCCGGTGTCCGTCGTCAGGAATCGGTAGAACAAGGTTATATGTATTCTGTCATGAAAATTTATGGTTCAGTTTAAAACCTCAACTTAATGATAAATTCTATATCATCTCTAACATTTGAAATATATAAAAAGAAAAAAATTAATTAAGCCTAATCAACCTTGAATAGTATTTTTGCCGCGATGAAATGGTCGGCCTCCAAGCTAAATGCAGCACTCGAGGTGGAACTACCGGCTTCTTCCCACTGAATCACAGTGTTCCATCTGCTTTCTCCTTGAAGAACAATAAAAGGCTTGTCTCGAGGAACTTTGACCTTTTCACTATATATACACACATGAAGGCAACAAGATCAAATAGATTGGCAGTTTACCTTTTGCCTTGAAATGTATATTTCAAAAACTTGATTTAACGAGTTTCGACAGAATCAGATGTTCGAAACATCCTGTTTAATTGAGTTGAATCGATTTCAAAGAAAAAAGGTTTTGTTTTTGCTACATACAAAAACACTTGAGAAGAAAACAGCTAATAAAATAAATGGATTTTACACATATTGAGATACTATATAATTCAGTTTTTTTTTAATTAAGACCTTAAATCTTTTTTCAATTTAATTTAAGAATTCCACTCTTATTTTGTTGTTTATTTTAGATCCTAACTAATGACAGCTTATCACGTAAGTGCATATAGTAAGCTTCTAGCCAATGACAACTTATCATGTCACCAATTCTATCAATCAATTTGGTCTACCATGACACATGACAGCTATCATTTGCTAAAATTTGCTATATGCACTTACGTGATACATAAGAATAGAATTTTTAAATTTGATAGAAAAAAATTTAGATTCTCAATCAAAAAATTTAAATTGTATGAGGTCTCAATATACATAAAATTCTAAAATAAATTAATGACACACACACACACACATATATATATATATATATATATATATATATATATATATATATATATATATATATATATATATAGTTGCTTACTTGTAGATACCAGCTTTAACACTGATAAGAGTCCAGAAATTGTTATTTGATGGGATAGAATCTATGGCTTTTTGCACACTCGTGAAATTTCCTTGACCATTTTTATCAACTACAATGGTTTTTAATGCTCCATATTTTACGTCATCTATGATTTGACCATCTTGTGCTTTGAATGGATTGAAAAAGAGGAACAGAACCATTAAAAAGTGGGGAATTTTGTGAAGACATTGCATTTTGAAAGAAAAAAAAATCTAAATTATTTTGTGGAGATAACCTTTTCTTTTGAATTTGTGGCGCTTTAAATAATGAAACAGATTGGTTTGGAAAAATGTTTAGAAAGCATAGGAAATCTGCGGATATCTTCTGTGTTTGATTAAAATTTATGAAAATTTATGGCCCTATAGAAGAAAACATCAATTATGTTTCATCAATAAAAAGTTGAATGAATGTGCCCCTCATTAACATTTCTTATAAGGAAAATGCCATGCATCTATATAAAGGAATCCACTTACTGGTGTATAAGTTTGCATTTATTAAATTCCTAATATCTATATTATCTCACATAACTTTTATTTCTTCTTTAATAATGTTTCATTTTATATTTCTTCTTTTTCCTTTTTTTTAAAAAAAATTACAGATAGTGAGTGTAAAAGAACGATTTTTATTCAAAAATTTAAGTTGTTAAATGAGGTCCAAAAATAATTATATATCACTCTCTAATACTCTTCCGTAAATGAAAGCTTTCAATCTTGAAATTTGCACAAATCTACTATTATAATGTTCTTAATTATTTAATTTTAATTAAAAAAAAAAAGAATGACGAGACTGTCATATGAAACTTAAGCTTTTAAATGAGGTTTCAAAAATAGTTGTATACTACTCTCTCACAATGAGATATTTTCAAATCAGTATTCATATTAATCAAGATTAAGTTTACAATTTTTTAGAATCGGTTAGTATCATATCACACCTAATCTATGCATACCAAATGTGACACGAAGAAGGGATAGGAGTTTTAAAAAAATTGAGAATCAAACCTCTTACTTAGCTAGTCTGAAGCTAACACATCTAACACATCCTCTCACTTCTGTCCACTCAACCTAAAAACTTTGATATTCTTTTTTTTTTTAACTTGTAATGTACAAAGTAATTATTTTTCTTCTTAATTGTTACTAATTATAGCTGCCAGACATATGACGGGACCATGGAAAAATAAGGTTTAAAATTTCTAGGTTTATTATGTGGATGAGAATCATTATTGGTTTTGGGCGTTGCCACCTAGTCTTATAGAAAGTAAAAACCTAAAAATAACATTAATCTAAATATTTTACGATAAAGAGTTGGTTATACTTTTGAAAATATATTAATCACCCAAAAGCTTCTTTTAAAAAAAAAGGTATCACGCCTAATTTAGTCATAAAATTTATCTTCTAAAAGTTTTATTTTTTGTCAAAATATTTCTTAGTCAATTTCTAAGTTTATTATCTAAACTAAATTAATTTTTTGTTTTTGTATGAAGCATCGTATTGAACCAATCGTCGAACCTCTTCGTTGAGAGACACATTAATTTAAACATCGGATCCACTTTAAGTCTCGATACAATTGGTGTATCAAAGAACGTCTTAATTATTAAAATAATTTTTGCCTAACAATAATCCCTATTGGATAAGAGATTTTGTTAAAGTTTTTTTCTCCTTTTTTTAATTATATTTTTTTGTTCGAAGTAGAATTGTCATCGGGTCCTAAAAATTAAGAGACTCGACAATTCGTTCACGTATTAACTACTTAATCTAATGATTGAAGTAAAATCTAAAATTAAACATTTTACTAAATAAATTCAAGAGAATCCAAAATATTAAATCTAAATTAAGTTGGAAATAAAAATGTATAAAAAAAGATTCAGGTCAGTTTGTCTAGAAAAAGAAATTTAAGCACTGGGGCCCTTTTTGGGTCAGTGGGCCCTTGGCCCACTGGGCCAAGGCTGCTGGGCAGGCCTGCCTTTCCCAGTTTTTTGTTGGCTTGGGCTGGGCTAAAACCAGCCCAAGCTTTGGCCATGCGGGCTGGGCTTGTCCAGCCCGTTTTCCATTTTTTCAAGCTAGATTTTACCGTCCGTTCTTAAGCCGACTCCAATTTAACATAATATCAAATCTTATACCTTCCATCCTCTCCTCCTTTCTCTGCTTCTTGAATCTTCCTTTTCAAATTCCCTATCTCCCCTCTTCATCATCCTCAAGTTTAAGCTCTTTCTCGCAGCTCGAAGCTTCCCTATCAATGCCTTCGCCATCCGCTGCCTTCTCTCTCTCAGCCTCCCCTGCCTTTTTCTTATTTATAATAGATCGGCTACCAATCGTAGTTCTAGAATGGAAGACCATTCGGGAGGAAACCACAAAATCCTAAATCAAAACCACATCCTTCTAGAATGCTAAGGTGGATGAGCTATAGTTGGCAAGCTGAGCTGGAAGGATGACAGGTTGGCACTGGAATGACTGGATGACAATTTGATAATTATAATTATCCTATAAAATGTAACGAGGAAAACTTAATTAAAAAATAATTAAAAAAAATAGTACCCGTAGCATTATTCTTTATATATCTAAAAGGCATGGGGAGTTCACTGTTCAAATGAACAGTGAACTCCCCTTTTGTACTGTTCGTTTGAATAGGTTGGTTTTTTTTTTTTTTTTTTTTTTTTTTTTTAATCTTAGTTTTTTTTTATATTATTTCGTTTATTGTTTTTTAAATTTCACACTTACTTTTTCTCTTAGGTTTATTTTTTTATTTTTAAATTATTTTATTTTGGCCCCTAAAATTTTAAAATAAAAATTTTAATACGTAATCGATACATTATATGTGTTTTTTTTTTCATCACTTTATGTTTTTTTATTTAATTGAGTGTTAAAGTTTTTAAAAATCGATCGTTATTTTTTTCACACAAGCTAATGATTATATAATATGTATAGATCAAATGCATATATTTTAAAAATCATCCCCTCACAATATATTGTTCACTCTTTTTTTTTTTTTTTTACCCTCACAATGTGCTATTCACTCTTGCTTTTTTTTTTTTTTTTAATTTTCACTCTTAGTTTTTTTTTTCTTAGCTTTTTTTAATTTCCAAATTATTTTTTAATTTTTAATTTTTTTGTAATTTTCACCTTTTTTTTTCCTTATGTTTTTTTCTCGTGATTTTCAAATTATTTTGTCTTAATCCCTAAAATTTTAAAATAACAATTTTAATTCCTAATTGATGCTCTACATGTCTTTTTTTTTTTTTTTACTTTTTTCCATCAATTATATATTTTTTATTTAATAGGATGTTAAATTTATTAAAAATCAATCATTACTTTTTTTCACACAAACCGACGATTATATAATATATATATAGATCATATGCATATACTTTAAAAAAAAATTCTTCTCATGAACATTAAATAAGAATAAAATTTTATTTTTTCATTGGTTAATTTTTATGTAAGTCTATACATTGATTATAACTTTAATTTTTTCGATATATTCTTATAAAATAATATATTTTTAAAGTTTTTGTTTTTATGGCAATATTGTTCTCCCCCTCACAATGTACTATTCACTTTTTTTTTTTTTTTTTACCCTCACAATGTATGATTCACTCTTAGGTTTTTTCTTTTCTTTTTTTTTTTTGTAATTTTCAAATTATTTCGTTTTGATCCTTGAAAATTTAAAATAAAAATTTTAATCCGTAGCTGATGTACTATATGTGTTTTTTTTTCTTTGATTTTGTATCAATTTATGTGCTTTTTTATTTATTTAATTGGGTGTTAAAATTTTTAAAAATTAATCGTTATTTTTTTCCACACAAATAGACGATTATATAATATGTATAGATCAAATATATGTGCTTTAAAAAAATAATCTTCTTATCAACATTAAATAAGAATAAATTTTATTTTTTATTGGTTAGTTTTTATGCAAGTCTATACATTAATTGTAACTTTATTTTTTGGATATATTCTTATAAAAAAAATACATTTTTAAAGTATTTATTATAATTTCTTAATTAATATTTTAGCTTTAAATTATATATCATAAGTTTTTATTTAGGAATCCCTAAATAATGAAAAATAAATTATATTTTTTTAAGAAGATATTATATAAAAAAATAAAAATTAATAAAAAATTATAAAATTTTGAAATAATTTTGTTCTATCTACCTATTACGTTGCGTAGATAATTTCAAAATTAATATCCTCATCAGCATTAAATAATAAATTTTTTCATTTATTAGTTTTTATAAAAGTCTATTTATTAATTATAACTTTATTTTTTAATACAATATTATGAAAATTATATTTTTAATTTTTTTAAATTCTTGATTAATATTAATTATTTATGTTTTTTAAGCAAAAAATTATAAAAAATTATTTAAATACAAAATTATAATTAAAAAATTTTAAATTTTAATTTTATGTCTCCTTAAAAATCACAGAGAAGTCCTAGTTTTCGAGACTTACACTCGATTTTAATTTTATGTTATTTTAATGCAAGTGTGATTGTGATTTCAGTATTAGTGATCAAGTGGGACAGTAATATTGATGTTTGAATCATAACGAGGGAATATATAATTGGTATAATAAGATGGAAACGCTACTCTATATATATATATACAATTTTGCATCAATTAAAACTAAATTCATTATTTTTTTAGTTAAGCCAGCGTCGGAGTATATTTAGTTTTCGAGGAACTACTGAACTACCTCTTAAGCTAAATCAATATATACCCGATATTATTAAAAAATATTTATAACTAGTTATTTATAGATAATAAAAATTGAATGTTAATTTCAGTTACTGCAACGTCTAAGCATACAAGTTTTAAAAAAATTGGAAACTAGGATAGTACTTTCATGACGAGATTAGCTAACATATATAAGCTGCAACATTATTAAACTTTAAAGTTTCTTTCATATTATTGAATATTTTCTAGATGTATGTCATCAGAAACAGTAGTTTCATACCTCCATTATCTCTACATTATCCAAATTTGGTATCTTGGCCCATTTCAGTCCAGCTCTGTAGCAATGTTGGTCCAAATTGGAATTTAGTTAAAAGACTCAATTTCAGATTTTTATATATTGGGTTTTGCTTTGAACAATATTCAATGTTGGCCCAAATTGGGATTTAGTAAAAAGGCTGAATTTAAAGTATTATTTTTGCTAACATTTCTGTGGCCTGGGCTTTTGTGCTGGATTTCTAGGGCTTGGGCTAAAATTACTGAATTATGGTGCCCAGCCATTTTACAATATTATATTTCGTGCCACTGGCCAGTTCTAGATAGGAGAGAAACAATGTCCACAACCTCAAATCTTCCTTATCATCTAGCACCAAAAGACCTCTCAACAGAAAACAAACCCTCATCTCAGTTTTCCCAGAAAACAATCTTAGACCTCTTAAACGCCAAATGCAGTACTTCGCTTCAATATCTCAAGCAAGTCCATGCTGTGGCATTAAGGACAGGCCATTTTCAAGATCATTATGTATCTGGCAACTTAGTGAAATGTTATGCAAATCCTCATTTCAGTAACTTGGATTTTGCCTTAGAGGTCTTTGACAATGTCCCGAAACCTAATGTTTTTGTGTTTAACATTGTCATCAAAGGTTGTTTAGAGAACAATGAGCCATGCAAGGCCATATGGTGTTATTACAAGATGATGGTTGCAAATGCAAGGCCTAATAAGTTTACTTATCCTACATTGTTCAAGGCGTGTGGTGCTGCAGAAGCAGCTGAAGAAGGGGGCAAGTGCATGCTCATGTGGTTAAACAAGGGCTGAGTGGAGATGTGCATATAAGAAGTGCTGGGATTCAGATGTATGGAAGATTTGGTGAAGTAGAGGGGGCAAGGAAATTGCTAGATGAGGATGGAAGTTCTGATGTTATTTGCTTTAATGCAATGATTGACGGGTACTTGAAGTGTGGCGAGGTGGAAGCAGCTAAGGAATTGTTTGGGAGCATGAAGGATAAGAATGTTGGTTCTTGGAATGTGATGGTTAGTGGTTTGGCAAAGTGTGGCTTGATTGAAGAAGCAAGAGAGTTGTTTGATGAAATGAAAGAAAAGAATGAGATTTCTTGGAGTGCTATGATTGATGGTTATATCAAAGGAGCGTATTATAAGGAAGCCCTGGAAGTTTTTAATTTGATGCAAAGAGAGGAAATTAGGCCTAGGAATTTTGTTTTGTCTAGTGCGGTAGCTGCTTGTGCTAATGTGGGGGCTCTTGATCAGGGAAGATGGATTCATGCTTATGTGAAGAAGAATTCAATCTTCTTTGATGCAGTTTTAGGCACTGCTTTGGTGGATATGTATGCGAAATGCGGGCGGCTGGATATGGCATGGGATGTTTTTGAGAAGATGGAAAAGAAAGAGGTGTTCACTTGGAATGCTATGATTTGTGGACTAGCTATGCATGGTAGAGCAGAGGATGCAATTGAGCTTTTCTCTAAGATGCGAAGGCAGAATTTTAGGCCTAATGGGATCACCCTTGTGGGTGTCTTAAGTGCTTGTGCTCATTCGGGAATGGTGGATGAGGGTATAGAGATTTTGAATTCTATGAAGGAATTGTATGGTATTGAACCTGAGATGGAGCATTATGGATGTGTAGTTGATCTCCTAGGAAGAGCAGGGCTCTTAGGAGAGGCAGAGGAGCTTATCTATTCGATGCCGATAGAACCAAGTGCTGCTGTTTGGGGAGCACTTTTAGGTGCTTGTAGGAAACATGGAGATGTAGAATTAGGTGAGAGAGCAGGGAAGATTTTGCTAGAATTGGAACCTCAAAATAGTGGTAGATATGCTTTGTTATCTAACATCTATGCTAGGGCTGGGAGATGGGATGATGTTGCAAACGTGAGGAAACTAATGAAGGAGAGAGGAGTTAAGACCACTACTGGAATTAGCATGATTGATTTTGATGGTGTTGTCCATGAATTCAAAATGGGAGATGGATCCCATCAACAAATGAAAAACATCTACCTAACATTGAAAAATATGCTTAAGAGGCTAAAGATGGAAGGTTATTCCCCAAATACTTCTCAAGTTTTATTTGATATTGAAGAGGAAGACAAGGAAGCTGAACTGCAGTACCATAGTGAAAAACTAGCAATTGCTTTCGGATTGATTAACACGAAACCCGGAAAAACAATCCGTGTTGTGAAGAATTTAAGGATGTGCGAGGACTGTCATTCTGCCTTCAGGCTAATCTCTCAAGTCTATAATCGAGAGATTATCGTGAGGGACCGTGCACGTTACCATCATTTCAGGACTGGAACATGTTCATGCAAGGATTTTTGGTGAGTTATGGAAACAGCTGAAGCAATCAAGTTGTGATCCAAAGAGGGGAGTTAGTTGTTATAGTTGTAAATGAAGGTAGCAGTTCCATAATCCTGAAGTTTTTTCAATCAAGCCCACCAAATTTTCACATATTGAGTAGCAGACTTGCGTATGATGATTGCATCTTTAACCATTATAGTAGTTGTTATCATTATAATTATTGCAACTGACGAATAATTTTCGGCTCGAATTGTTCATGCTTAACAGTGGAAAGAAGTTCAAACTAGATGTTACTTAAGTAGCAGAACTTAAAATAGAAAGAAACTTGAATTCAACCCTGTTTATTTCCAATTTGTCACCAAGAATAGGAGAATGGATGTTACTGCTGCATCAACTTAAGGTCCAGCATACCAGTTATTATGGAGGTAATTGCAGGAGACCAACTGAACTTACAAGCTTGACTCAAGTGCTTAGATGGATTGCATATTTCAAGTTGCTCTCTGAGCTATCGATCCTTGAAAACTAGAACTATAGCACACACAAGCACACTAGTCATGGCTTTTATTCAAACATACTGTTAAGAGCAGCAGGCCTAGGCAAGGCAACCGTGACATATATATACATTACATGAGTAACACGAGTACTTTGCAGTTCAATACCATAAAAATACTTTGCAGTTTGGACCACACTATATGCTATAATTGCATTTCTTTGATTCATAATTGATCAACAACCTTTCTTAGGGTTGCAATCATTGGTAAAAGAATGGTGAGTTTCGGTTGATGATCCAGCAGAATTGCCATAGTTTCCGTAACTGCTGTTTGTCTCATCATCAGTGCTGCCATCGTTGTTGCTAATAGAACTGTTGCTAGATGCATTATCGTTCTTGGTATCAACTGCTGGCACTGAGCCTGTCACTGGATTACCGTACGTGCCCACTTTTCCAGGTTGATCATCTGCCTTCATCTCCTTCAAGAAAAGCCTCTTAGCATCAACTTGAAGATGCAAGAACGCCAGCCCTAGCACAAATAGTATTGCAACGGCAGTCTTCATCATTAACCTGTAATTTTCAATCAACAGAAGAATATCTGAGTATGCAGAGTATTAAGATTAAAGAAGTAATTTTCTTTAAACTGCAATTAACTAAAAAGGGTCTTTTCGTTGACTCGTCGTACTTTATATTCCTTCTCTAGAATGATCATTGGTTGATTAACCTTGCTTCAAGAAACATGTTTTGCATAATCATGATTAGTGGAAACTAAGATCAAAATGTGAGCACTATAAATATAACGAAGTAGTGGAGTGATTACACACTCACAATTTTCTGGCCTTATTGGGGAGGCTACACACAGGCGTGCTTGAAAGAGGCCACCAAATACGTTAGTAATTATGAATAAGGGTGAAATATAGATGAAATAATCTGGATAATTGGTTAAGATTTTCACTTGATTTTGTTTAAATTGAGGACTAATCACGCTAGCATTGTCGGGCTCAGCAAGTAAGTGCAGCACCAAAATATACAGTTTACTGCACTATGTATCTACTTGCTAGAAATAGCATGTTTATTGGTTGGTGACATAACAATAAGATCATTAAAAATTTGAAAATGGCAAGCAAGCATCCTGCATATAATCTAGGTAAATTGTAATTATGGGATCATAAAGTTGATATGATTGCTATGAGAAGTAATCTAATGGACAAACATGGAGCTAAACATTGACCTTTTTCTTCTGTAAATGTAGCGAAAAGAAAATCAGGTTCTCAAACTGAATTGGATTGGGCTATCTAAGTAATGGGCTAACCCTAGCATGAGTTCATACACTTGATCAGCTTAATCCTTACCCTTTGACCCATAAAAAAGAGTGGTCACCAAATGGATAAAGTACCGAATCATTCATTGCCCTACAAATACACAAAACAAAACCAAAGGCCATTTCTCCACCACTAAAATGTCTGAAAACCAACCTCATCCCCCTCTCATAATTGCTCTCCCTTCACGAAAACTACCTCCAAAGGAGACCAATTTGTCATTATATAAAACATCAAGGACCAATTTTGTCCTAACAGTATCCTTATAACCAAAACAGACCACTTAGTACTTGCCACTCAAAACTGAATCGGTTTAACTACCAAAAAACAGAAATGAAAGGCCAAGCCATGGCCATGAAACTACTATCCTCTCCATCTTCTCTATCAAACCCCAAATGGGCTAAGTCTCTCTTCTTTTTCGCTTCCAATCCAAAAGGGTCGAAACCCATCTCGAGTTCAGTCCAACTTTGTCAATGGAGGTCAAAAAATTTAGTCTTTCATAGAAAAATGGTACTGAAGGCATGTGTGAAGGTAGAGCAAAATAGGGAAACTGAAGTAGCTGGAAATGAGTGGGGCAAGGTATCTGCTGTGCTTTTTGATATGGATGGAGTGCTGTGCGATAGTGAAGAGCCTTCAAGAATGGCGGCTGTTGATGTTTTTGCTGAGATGGGAGTTGAAGTTACAGTGGAGGATTTTGTGCCATTCATGGGCACAGGTAATATATATATATATATATATATAGTTCTTCAATTTAAAAATTTTGGCTTTAATACAGTTATAATTTCTTATTAGATAATAAGTAAAAATAATGTGTTTGGATATTTGTTTTCAATCAATGAGGATTCAATTTCAGCAATTCCTTTTTGTTTCTTGAAAGAATCCAAACGACTTTGTCATTTTTCATGTTGTCAATGATTCTCCTGTTATTTTCTGGAATTTGATGTTTAGGGACAGAAATTTGATTATTTGAGATGTAAGTTTGATGGAAGTAGCTGTCTTTTTAACTGCTGAGTTTCTTCAATCTATTAGGTGAAGCAAACTTCTTAGGAGGTGTTGCTAATGTAAAGGGAGTTAAGGGATTCGATCCCGAGGCTGCGAAAAAAAGGTTCTTTGAGATATATCTAGATAAGGTGATTAATGTGAAATGCTATCTAAGTTGTAATGCAAGGTGAGTTTGTTATATGATGCCTAAAGTATTTTCACTTTTTGCAGTATGCAAAACCAAATTCTGGAATAGGATTCCCAGGTGCCCTTGAACTTATTACGCAGGTTTGTAACCCCATGACTGAGAATTCACATGATGAGATTGTATTGAAGCTACATTAATTATAGTGGCTGCTGTATAACAGTGTAAAAACAAAGGCCTGAAAGTTGCTGTTGCATCTAGTGCTGATCGTATCAAAGTTGATGCTAATTTAGCGGCAGCTGGCTTACCAGTATCAATGTAAGATTACCTGTTGTTTGTCCCATTTCTCTATTTCTTCGAATAGTTATACAATTTCATTTTTTACATTTTTCTGATAATCACTGAAATGCCTAGTACTCTACAAGTTAGTTGTATTACCATGGAATATGTAATGCTAAGTAACAGATGCAGTAACCTCAGATTAATTCCTCTCTCTAGTTAAATTTTGTTTTCTAAAGTAAAATTGAAATTTTCAAAATGGCATAATTGGGCGATAGAGCAGTTACTCCATATGTCTACTTCTAATTTTGAAAAAATATTTGAGAGATGATTGTATCTGTTATGAGTCAAGAATCGGAGGATTTCTGTTCTGATTATTTTGTTAACCTTTTTTTCTCAGGTTTGATGCTATTGTGTCGGCAGATGCTTTTGAGAATTTGAAACCAGCTCCTGACATTTTCTTGGCAGCATCAAAAATCTTGGATGTGCCCACTGGTGAGGTATACTAGCTGATCCTGGATGTTATTTTCCCTACTAAGTTGAAAAGATTATCAACTCAGATAAGTCATTGCATATAATTAGCATCACAGAACATTTTTTTCTCCTAGAAATTGAATTTCATTAAGAAGGAAAAAAGGAGTCCAAAACGGAGGATAAGATATCCTCGTTGAACTAAAACAACTAAGCAAATTGCTGGAAGAGAACAAAAATGAGTTATAGGTTAGGGTGGGTGTGATTCTTATTGATACCCATCATATTTTGTAGAGGATTCCAACACCAGACAGGTTTTTGAATTACTCTTAAACCATCCCCTGTCACCATATACTACTTTTCTTGTTTAGTTTATGATCATTATATCAACTTCTTTTCTTATTTCAACACTTATTTTGGTGGTTCGCATATTTTCTCATGTCTACCTTGGTCATATTAATGGATAAGTGTTTGCCTACCTTTTCCTAGTGTATTGTTATTGAAGATGCACTAGCTGGAGTACAGGCCGCAAAAGCTGCACAGATGAGGTGAAAAAGATAAAATTTGTGTATTTGCTGTCCTTAAAGAGCTCTGATCATTAAATTGCTCCTTTTTCTTATTCAAACGATAGCATTATTTGCTTCTTGCAGATGCATTGCTGTGACCACTACATTGTCGGAAGAGATTCTAAATGATGCCAGTCCGTCTCTTATCAGGAAGGAGATAGCGAATATCTCGCTTGATGATATTCTCAGTGGTGGATCTGGTGGCTATAGTATGTAGTCCTAAGAATATGCCAAAAATGTCATTTTGTAACCATCAATAATGTAGAATTTTCAATCTGCTTTCCGTATTTTAAGAACCGTGACTATAACAAATTTCTTTGTAATTATTGGAATACTGTTTTCATCGAAGATAAAGTGCTTTAATGAGCACAATGAATTCGGTTCTATAATTGGTGATTTTGGATTTATCTTTAGATTGCAGACAAGAACTTTTTCCTTGTTGTTCTCCTAGCAATTTCTGTTATGGATAGTAGTTAGCCATTTATATTTTGGGCAATAAGATCTGATAAAGACATACAATTGCAGATGAGAAGATGCAGGGACCACAGGTTCTGCACACTTCTTCACAAACTTCAGCTGCAATGCTCGAAGAAAGTGCTGAAAATGGGTCAATTCTTAACCAAGTTGCTACCTATGACAATGTTTCCTCAATTAAGGGGTAAGAGAGGTTCTATTTCTTTGAAATCTTGGACCCATGTTGATTGATCCCTGTTTCGCCAAATTTCAAGGGAAAAAAAGAACACTGTATGGCCTTCTTCATCTTAATGACAAGAAGTGGATCTGAAATACAAAACCGCAGAATGCTAAACATTTAGCTAGTCCTATGGTTCCCTTGCAATGTGTTTTAGATTATTTGGAGTCTGTTTGATTCATAACTTAATAGGAAAACTTTCACATACTGTAGTTTCATGGCAGAAAACTTAAACAGGTGTCCATAATGGTAAAAAAAAAAAAAAAAAAAGGTTTGGTTCACAGTTGTAGGATGCAATTATCTATAAAGCTTTCTTCCATTTATCTCATTAAATTTCTTTTATCCGTAGCTTTTGAGTGTGAAATTCTTGGTGTCAAGGTGTCTCGGAATGATTTATTTCCAGCAACAAAAGGGACATTTTATAACAACTTCAGCTTGAGGTTGCAGAAATAATTTGTGGACAGGTTGCAGGGTTCTCGTCGTGATATAGTGAGATATGGCAGTTTGGGAGTTGCTCTTTCTTGTCTGTACTTCACCGTCACAAACTGGAAGGTATTTGATTTAACAGAGAAGACCATAACAGAAGTTGTATCCATCACTTCAATCCTGTCATCGCTATAGTGATCATTTGAGTTACCAGGAAAAAGTAGCTTTGAATTCTACATAGAAGAGCTTATTAAATTATTATTCTTGTCATTTTACTTTACTTCTTCTCATACATCTATATCAGAACCTTTTCAGGCAATGCAATATGCTTCACCTAAAGCTGTATGGAACTTGTTGTTTGGAGTTAAGACGCCATCCTTTGAACAGAATGAAAGTACAGGTATAGTTATGCAATATGAATTTGTGTTCTGATCTTCTCAAGATGCACTATGTCAAATCATGAGACATGCCTTATAACATACACGGTTGTTTCAAGTCATTTTTTTTTATATAATTATAGTCAAGGTAAGAAATATGAACTCATTGAACTTTGTTTGTTTTAGGCAACTCAAAATCCTCAAGAGTCAAACAGTTTGTAAAGTATATATCTGATCTAGAAACCAAGTAAGTAACAAGTCAGGAGGCTTATGACCTGTTTACATTTTCATCGTAATATCTGTTTACCAAATTTCTGTTTAATCTGTTTTGAGCTTATTATCTTCTATTGTGTCAGGGGAAATGCCACCGTTGTGCCAGAATTTCCAGGTAAACTTGATTGGCTGAATTCAGCTCCGCTTCAGTTTCGGAGGGTAAGTTTCATTCAACACACATTTCATTGTGGTATTTCTGTCTTCTTTGAACTACGTCTTGGTCTTTTTGAATCCTGACAAATTTCTAAGTAACAGAAAACTTTCCTCTTTTAATGAATCTTTTTGGCAAATGCATTTGATCCTTGCTATTTCTTTTTCTTTTTTTTCTTTTTTTAGGTGAATCGATACTGACTATTTCAATCTCTTCGAGTAGGATCTGAAAGGAAAAGTGGTTCTGCTAGATTTTTGGACATACTGTTGCATAAACTGTATGCATGTCTTGCCAGATCTAGAGTACCTGGAGAAGAAATACAAATATTCACCGGTAACACTCTCGCCTTTTCTTTCTTGGTGATGCATGTCTTGTATGAAATCTGGTTGATACTTTTTCCTTGTTTTGGTCATCTATTTTACTAATTCAGGATTTCATTGGCTCCATTGTTTACTAACACATACAAATGTCTTTTATGTACTTATATTTTCACAGGTCACTGTTGTGGGGGTACATTCAGCTAAATTCGACAATGAGAAAGATTTAGAAGCCATCCACAATGCAGTCTTGCGTTACAACATCTCTCACCCAGTGAGTCAAATTTTGGAACTCGTATAAGCAGAATTTCACTCTTTCTCAAACATTTTGGATATCTTTCAAAACATGATATACTGCAAATTTAGTATCGTTTCATAAAACAAGAGCAGTATTTCAATAGTTCCATGTATGAAGAACCAGAGGTGAAAGTGCCAGCACTCCGGAAATTATCATTTGGGCCATAGAATTTAGCTTTGAAAGTCTGCACTAATATATGTAATATCGTAACAATAAATAATGCATTCACTAGCTTTGGCGTTAGGTTACGTTGTAGATGTGTACTTCTGCTTGTAGTGTTTTTAATTTCTTCCTTTCTTTAGCTAACACGATCTGGGTAGTGCTGCAATGAGAAACCATATATAAACAGTTATAAGTTTGAATTTCAGAAAGCATTTATTCCTGTGATGAACTTCTTGAGCTTTCAGGAACCACATGGTTATAAAGGCCATTTTTGCCACTAACAATTAACATATCGAGGAAACCAAATTTTTTGATATTTCATATCCCATGAGCACTTATGACTTGTTAACTTGTCTCTTCAGTTTTATTAAAATATAGGTTCATCTTAATAAATCTTTCCTCTCAGTATAGGTTGTCAATGATGGAGATATGATTCTGTGGCGTGAGCTAGGTGTCAATTCATGGCCCACATTTGTCATTGTTGGACCAAATGGTAAGCTTATTGCACAATTATCAGGAGAAGGCCGCCGAAAGGTACAACGCATACATGTATAGTATGTTATACTTGCTTAAACTCATAAAAGTTCAGTAATAAGAAATTCTTCTGTCCTTTTCTTTTTAGGATCTTGATGATTTAATAGAGGCAGCACTTTTGTATTATGGTGAAAAGAAGATCCTGAACAGCAGACCAATTCCTTTGAGTTTGGAGAAAAATAATGATCCTCGTTTACTTAGCTCTCCTTTGAAGTTTCCTGGAAAGTTGGCTATCGATGTACTAAACAGCCGACTGTTCATTTCCGATAGCAACCACAACCGCATAGTAGATCCTCTCTCTTTCTCTCTCTCACGCACACACACACCCATGCACACACAGCAATACAATTCAGGTTTGCACATTCTGCGTGGCTGTGACTGCAGAAATCAAAGTGTGGTTGGTACTTATTGCCAAGCTAGTAGTATCAATAAACACATAATCATGGATTACTATCATGAGCTTCTATAAAAACACCATAAAATGGCCCAGTAATATAAAGTTTACTATGATCTTGATCATAAATATTTTTAATGGCATTTAAATATTTTGTAATTTTTCAAGTTCAGATGGTCACCGATCTAGATGGGAATTTTATCGTCCAAATTGGCAGCAGTGGAGAGGAAGGTTTGAGAGATGGTTCTTTTGATGATGCCATCTTTAATCGTCCTCAGGTGAGGATTTAGTCTCTGAGTTGTTTCTCCAGATATCTGTTATGGAGAAATTTTATCAAGCATTTCCCTATTATGCATTTTTTTTTTTTTATGTTCAATCACCTCATGTATCCGCTTTGTGCTGGATATTCAAGCTGTAACATTATGGTTTTATGCTTATTCAGGGTCTGGCTTATAATACAAAGAAAAACCTCCTTTATGTTGCAGATACTGAAAACCATGCTTTAAGGTATGTGCACCTAGGACCTGACATTTTTTTGAAAGCCTTAGGTGACTCCCCCAACTTTTGTAACGAATGAAAGAGAGTTTTTACTACAAAATCTTCATTGGGATCAGCCTTTCCTTAGAAGCTGCTTGGTAATTTGAAACTAGAATTCAAGATAAATGAGAAAAATATGCCGAGCAATGTATTTGAACCTATAATACGAGTCTGATCAACCATAGTTCTTCTATGTTCTTGCATTGAAAGCATCATGCTAGTTATAAGTGAGTTTATAACCATTCAATTTCTATCGCTGTAGGGAGATTGATTTTGTCAATGAGAAAGTGCGAACTCTTGCCGGAAATGGAACCAAAGGTTCTGATTACCAAGGAGGAGGAAAAGGAACAGACCAGGCAAGACCACAAATACACGGCTTTTCGATACAGTTTAAAGCTAGAGGACATCCTTAATGCTTCCTGTTGAAAATTTGGTTATTGACAAAGCAATTTTGCTGTTTAAACAAAAATGAATAAAATCCCTCCTATTATGTGCTTAATATATGTACAATGACCTCAAAATTTTGTAGATCAACCTCGTTATTTAAATTTGGAGAGTATTCTCATCCTATTTCAGGTTCTCAACTCCCCATGGGATGTCTCCTTTGAGCCGGTTAATGGGAAAGTTTACATTGCGATGGCTGGTCAGCATCAGATATGGCAGCACAACGTATCAGATGGAGTTACTAGAGCCTTCAGCGGTGATGGCTATGAAAGAAACTTGAATGGATCAAGGTAAGACAGAACGGGTTTATCTTAAATCTGTTTCTCTTATTCATTTTATATTCAGCATTCTTCTTTTTCCCCACTGTGCATGCCTTTTACAGTTGCTCCTTACATCAGCAATTTTTACATATTATTTTGCGATACTAGGGTCTATACTAGATTCTAAACTGATAACTTTTGTGTTTAATTATGGAAATAGCCCTACAAGCACATCATTTGCCCAACCATCCGGAGTTTCATTGTCTCCTGGTAAAATCTAGGGATATTCTGACAGCTTTTAATAACTTTCAATTGCCATTAAACAATCCGGTATGAAGCTTTGATTCTTATGATGGACACACTTTGATGCTATTCACAGATTTCGAGCTATATGTTGCTGATAGTGAAAGTAGCTCCATTCGAGTGCTTGATCTAAGAACAGGAGGAACCAAGTTGCTAGCTGGTGGTGATCCAAATTTCCCTGACAACTTGTTTAAGGTACTTTTGTTGCTGATTAAGAAACCACTTGCTTTTTGGACAAATATTCAGAGGACATTATCCAAGTATGAATCCAGAAAGTGATGTCCTGGAAAGGAGAAATTGTAGACATTTCTTCAGTTCACCGTTTTTGCATGAAATGGTCCCTGGGAATAATATATCGATTTCTGAGCACAGATATACACCATAATAAACCTCTAATTAAGAATATTTTAAAGTTCATGTCCAGTAAATGTTATCTTTTGAGCTTCATGATCACCATTTATGACTTATCTGTATAATATTTAATTTTGCAGTTTGGAGACCATGATGGTATAGGGTCTGAGGTACTTCTTCAGCATCCATTGGGTGTATTGCATTCAAAGGATGGCCTAATATACATAGCAGATAGCTATAATCACAAGGTAATTTGATCACGAGCGAAATCATCTGGAAATTTTAATTGCGAAGGCATGCAGCAAGTTATTGCATCTGGATCTATCGGTAGCTTAGTCTTTTTCCATTGAAAGGCTGTGAAAGTTCCTACTTTTGTCTGCACTTAAAAATGTTCATATTGATCCTAATAAACAATCAAGCATCGCTAAATTGCTTTAATTTTTCCTTTAAACTTCAGATCAAGAAGCTAGATCCAGCTACTAAAAGGGTCACTACAATAGCAGGAACAGGGAAAGCTGGTTTCAAGGATGGAAAAGCACTAATGGCCCAGGTTAGAAAATGGTGCAAAATGTACTTCATATCCTTATACAGGAACCTGAAGTGCCTCTTATATCACAAAATGTTGATACTTGATGCTGTTTTCTGTTCTTCAATACAACGCTATTTTCTGGCTTAAAAGCACATTTGACTGAGATTGTCTAAAAACAATGTTGCCAAAATAAAGTGCCACTTATTTCAGTAAATTCCAATGTAATGATTTGGAACTTTTCATTTCTCATCCACTTATATTTCTAGTGTGCAAGAACGAGTGAGCAACAAGTAGAAAGAAAGCAGACATGTCTCGGGATGTTCTGCTTTTCAGAGTTGAAATCATTATCCACGAAACTTATTCATCTTGGTCATTCCATTTTAAACCAGTAACAAACTCTATGTTAATCTGATGAAGTCTCTAGAGTTTTTATAGGCTGCAGAATATTATCAGTTTACAGTTCACTCCTGCTTCACCAGGCTGCCTGAAATATCAGTTCTAATGCTTTCATTTATTTCTGCAGCTCTCAGAGCCAGCAGGAATCATTGAAGCTGAAAATGGTGATTTCCATAACTCTCGTGCAATATGCAACATCTAATTTCTTAATTCACAGTTTTTAAGTGTTGGCACCATTTTGTGAAGATTTGAGATGTGCCCATCTTTCCTTTCTTATCACACGTTTGACTTAGTTTGGTGTACTTTCCTATGAATCAAGTAGACCCATTTAAATTGTTTTCCATCAAATGGAGAAATTTCTTCTCTATGAATCACAGTTAGAAGCTTCCTTTCAATTAACTTGATTTGAAACCTTTCCTTGGTTATTTGCAGGAAGACTTATCATAGCTGATACAAACAACAGTGTAATTAGGTATCTAGACTTGAACAAGGAAGAAGCTGAAGTTCAAACTTTGGAGCTGAAAGGAGTTCAGCCTCCAGCACCAAAATCCAAATCTTTGAAGCGTCTCCGGAAGCGATCATCAGCTGACACGGTGACAGTTAAAGTTGATGGTGGTTCTTCCAGTGAAGGCAACCTGCGTCTCAAAATATCAGTACCTGAAGAATACCATTTCTCAAAGGTCTCCTAAGATCTAACCTCATTAATATAGTTTCTTACCAAGTTCTGTCCTTTATTTTTCCACTGTGTTGCATATCATAACCTCCCCGTTTGTAAATTCAACTGCAGGAAGCACGCAATAAATTCAGTGTTGAAACTGAGCCCGAAAACGCAGTGCTGATCGATCCCTCTGAAGGTTATCTAGGTTCAGAAGGAACTGCAAGCCTTCATTTTAAAAGATCCACTTCCTCACCTTCAATAGGGAAAATAAACTGCAAGGTATGCCGTTAATTTGTCTTCTGTGGTCCAGTTTGATAGCAAAGACAAAGGTTATAGCATTTTACATTCTGAGGATGCAGTTTTTTAAGGAAATTCCATTTAGTCAGGACTGTGATGTAGAATTTACAGCTTTTCTGTTAGTAATATTCAAAGAGAAAAACTCTATGCTAAGCTTACAATTTCCTGTTAGCTACTCCGCAAGAAATAATCAGTTTGGTTCATCATTCTTCAGGTTTACTATTGCAAGGAAGATGAGGTCTGTTTATACCAATCACTTCTCTTTGAGGTACCCTTCCAAGAAGAAGTTCAAGCCTCTACCCCATCAGAAGTCACACTTGCATATCTTGTGAAGCCTAAAGCTTCACCAAGCAACTCGCAGCTACCGATTACTGGCTGACAGCATTCCCATGTAAATGAGTTGTAAGATTTTTATTTAACAATTTTTTTGCTACATTTAAAATCAATAACCTCTGTCCTCACCATATTCTATGAAGAAACAAATTAAATCAGTAGATAAGAACAACAGTTTACTCCAAAAGACTAGCTTTCTGTAAACTCATATTATTAAATATTAATCATGCAAGATGTATAGCATTTGACACCATTGATAATAAGTAGTTAACCCAAATGAACTGATGTCACAAGATGATAAAAAAAATAGACTAGCCCACACAATTGTTATAGCGGAAAATTTGTGAGATTTGTTTTCGTGATGCTAGAAAGAAAACTATGTATAATTCTTTCGACCTAATAAAAGAAACTAAAAAAAGGAAATATCTCTTAAAAAACCATAAATTTCCTCCATATTCCTCTAAAAAGAAAGGCAATATATATATAGATAGGTGAGAACTCTTTTCAATTTTTTTCCTGGTTTTTTAAATCCATGTAAGAAAGTCTAAATTGGATGTATGCTTTTTATGGGTTAATGGTTGCAGGTGTTCATCTTTTCTTTTCTTTTCTTTTCTTTTTTTTTTGTATTTATTGTTTATCTATTTATTATTATTATTTATTGATTTTTGTTATAAGTTTGTCTTTCTACATTTATTTTATGTTTTAAGTTCGTTTCTTTGTTAAACTTTTTTTACCAAAGGTATTAAATTGCACCGTTAACCCTACATAATCGCAACACATGTTAACTTTATTTTATTTTTTATTTTTAATCTTAAATCCATCTACTCTTTTTTAGGTGAAATTATAAAAAAATGAAGAAAAAAAGTCAAGGTAAAAATATTTTTTAATTTAAAATATTCCTTATGCATTTAAATTTATCTCTATACTCAGGATAGATAATTTTACACTGCCTCAAAAAACATAAGGTTGGCATGGTTTTAGTGCTTCACGGCTCGAATTTCATGACTCGAATATGGCATGGATTCATGCGGTTAGATTGGTATGAATTTCGTGCTATTTCTTTGACACGAAATTCTTGTTTCACATCATTTCCCTTCTTATATCTTAAGAAAACCAGCTGTTTACTCCTTTACAAAACTGGAAAAGAAAAGGCTAAATTGTGAAGAAAACCCTCAACAAAAAGCTCCAAAATTCGCACCTTGTTTAGGGTTTTCTTTACAATTTGGCCATTTCTTTATTATAGGAATAGAAGATCATAGCTTGCTTGTAGAACAAAATTCAACAGACCTATTTTTAGGATAATCTTAACTTAGGTTATCCAACTTCAATCTTTATCTTAAAAGTTGACCTACACTAAGAATTTGTGTTTGCTTGAATGAAATGCTTAAGTTGAATTTGATGTATTGATTCAGGGAGACAGGAAAAGGTCAAGTTTTTTAGGCATCATATGCTGACATTAATAGTTTATCTTCAATTTGTTTGAAAGATACATGTTCAAAAAAATAATTACTTGTTTAGTGTCAATTTCTTTCAGTTCATGCTTCAAAAGTCAAAATAGTAGGGCTATTTTTTTTATAGGATATTACATTATTTTACGTTATTATAACATTATAAATAAAGATTACTATAGATAGAGGAAGGAGGTTTATGGTAATCAAACCGTAATACTAAATATTATCTTTCAATAAAGTGAATATTTATATCTCTATATTGAAAATAACGTTTGATAATGAGATAATACTTAAGAAATGCTAGATGGAACTCCAATCCTTATCTTGTCTAGATATTTAGATCTTGTAATTAAAAGTAATATATGATATTGTAATTTTGCTAGATATAGAAGTCCAACCAACAAGGAATGTATTCTAACAGTAAAAGAATTGTCTTGAGTTGTTCAATATTAAAATTCAATTCCTACTATTCATATATAACTAGGTATAATTATTTTTTAATGATACTAAATTTAGGCTTATTTGTTATAAAAGAGAGCCCAGTACTCGACTAACGATTAAATATATTCCGACACTAACTTAACTTAGAAAATAGTTGATTCAGTTTCGATTGATATGAAAGCTGGTTTTAAAATATCTCAATATATATGTATATGGTCGACTAAAAACTAAAAATGCTTTGATGCTAGCTTAATTTAGAACTCGATTTCAATTGATACTAAAATTGGTCCTAGAATACCCTTTTATATATATATATATATATTACATGATTATTGGTCAGTTTGTGATAATTAGTGTTTTTGATGGTCACAAAACTTTAGCTGCTTAACTTTCATGTCCTTGCCAAAGTCATGAATCTCATGACTAATTAAATTAATCATCATCAACATAATTATTGTGCTTGACATAAACTAGAAGATTGATTGTCCATCAAGGCAAGCACTCGTGCACATTTGATTGGCTAAATGATGCCGGTGGAGCTAATTATTAGAAGCAAAATAATATTTTATTTTCTTAAATTTTTATTGTCAGCCAGAGGACAAGATGGGCCTCCTATATACCTAGCAAAAAAATTTATTAATGCATAGAAATAATCTTTAGTTAGCCTCTTAATCAAAGATCATGTGACAAGATCACAATTTGTTTAACTAAGAAGGTTCTAAATCCATTATTATACTACAAGTTGGCTGCTTAAAACGCGTTAATTGCCTTGTTCCACCAAATCTCATACTTATCCTTAGCACAAACTTTATTTTTATGTAGTCAATGAAATGCACATGAGTCTTTACCAAGATGAATAATAACGTTAGGTATTTTATTTCTATCTAGTCAATGAAATGCACATGAATCTTTACCAACATGAATAACGCTAGTTTGTTTTTTTTTTTTTTTCCTTCCAAAGCTTGTCGGTTTGATGCATTCAGAAGAATTTCTCATAAGATTTGACTATGTTAAATTCATAACTCACTCGATAAGCCAACTATATCATTACCATTCGCTGAAGGTCTTCTCTTTAAAAATGACTAATTTAATTAAGGATTTTTTTTCTATATATAGTTTTTCTGTTCTTTGAATTGTTCCGAGGTTGTATATTTTTTTTTTTTGTATTGATTGAGTTCTTTTATTCTTATTTTATTTTGTTTTCGACCTTTCGTTATAACACCTTTAGTTATTAGCTGATGTAGAGTTAATATGGTGCATCTATTTCTGAAACAAAACAAAATAAAAAATAAAAAAAACTCAATTAACAAAAAAGAATACATAAATTAAAAAAATAGAGAAACCATATATGATCTAAACCCGATAGTTAGTTTTACGAATTAAACTAATACATGACCATTTCTGACATCTAAAGGCCAATTTCCTTCTTCTTCTTCTTCTTCTTCTTCTTCTTCTTCTTTTTTTCCTTGCAATCATGTTTTTGACCAAATTTCCACACACATTAAGCCCACCGTTTCAATTTGGTGAATTAGAAATTTATCTAACAAGTAAAGTTCATGATAGAATTCTTCTTCTTTCCATTTGCTTTAAACGCAAATTGTTCTTGCTTCTTAAAGATCAGTTTAATTTCACATTCTGAATTAAGTATCTTTGATCTTAAACGGATCATTTACACCTAGAATCAAAAGAAAAACCCTAAACAATAACTTGGAAACAAACTCATTAATAACATGAGCCAACAACTCAAAAGCAGACATGAGAGTCAACCTAACAGTCTGCTATGTGACTAATTCAAAAAAAGAGATGTGTGTTGCCTTGTCAAATCTATATACTAATAAACTATGTACAAGCAAACAAGAAACTATGATTTTAGAGCAAATGACAAGCATTTATTATTATTTAACTCAAAATCCCATGTTAGGGAGCAATGAACCAAAACTAATCAAAGTTGTTTGTCTACTAATAGCCACAGGCTTGAAAAAAAAAACCCCACGGCCCTTGTATCCAGCTATTAAAACTTGAATTAAAAACAATTTAACTTATTGAATGCACTAAACCAAATCCTAATTGGCTGATCCAAATGAAGTGGTTAAAAAATGGATAAGTAAGAAGATAAAGTAGTTTGACAATCCAATTAGGGCAAATCTAATAGATTACAACTTTGCGGGCATCTAATTAGGGCAATTCTTACGATATTTATTAATTTTGTATAGATTAATACCTCTATCTTTATCTTTATGTAATATAATAATTTTTTTGTTTGTCTTTATAAAGATAATATAATAATTTTTTTGTTTGTCTTTATATTAAAATGTATATTAATTGTTTGATTTATAATATATACTTGTAAAATTTTTAGACTAAACTATCATAATTAGTCACACGATTTGCATATAAAACCTTCTACTTGAAAGGTCTGGTAAGAATATTTTAAAAATAAAAATTAAATATGTGCAAAATATATGAATAATTATGATAATTTGACTTGAAAATATTGATAAAAAAATAGATTTGAAATTTAACATATATTTAAAAATAAAAATAATTCAACTAAAATATAAAATAAATTAAAAAATTACATTATTATATAAAAATGGTTTTGCACATATTAAGATTCCGTACAATTTAAATTTTTTTTATTGAGATCCTAAATTTTCTTTCTATCTAATTTAAGAGTTCTACTCTTATATTGTAGTTGTTTCGGATCTTAATGTGTCATATAAATACATGTAACAAGCTCTAATCAATAACGACTTGTCATGTGTTATAATGAATCAAAATTAAACGATTGAATTTATGATATGGTAAGTTATCAAACTCGTTATTGATTAGGATCTGAAATAACAATAAAATAAAAATAAAACTCTTAAATTAAATAAAAAAATTAAAATCTCAATTAAAAAAAAATCTGGATAGCATAAGATCTCGTGTAAAACCCAATATAAAAATGGATTGAGTTATTAACTTTCCGTTATCCATAAAATAACGTTTACTTTCTGATTGAGATAACTTCGGTACTTGCCCCTGTAGAATTACCCCAATTAATGTTTTATTCAAACAACATAAAAATAAAAAATAAAAAGTCAATCTATGGATCTGTGCAGAAAATCTACTTGGCAGAAAGCAAAACTGACCTTGTTGAATTTTGTCTATT